CATACTTAGCTGAGGTGGAGGCCAAGGGGGTTGTGGCAATTCTAAGCGATATTAACAAAGGAATGTGCCTGGTATGCTGAGTTAATATTCTGGGTATGTGATCTAATTAACGGGATACAGATATCGGCGCTAGGCCGCCCAATCAACACGCCACATCATAACGACAAGTCGATCGATTTGTTGCATGTATGCACTTTTCTATGTATATATATAATTTTTAAAACTTGTCTCATTAAACATTGTAGGTAGTTTTGTATCAGGTTTTAAAATAAAAAGACCAGCGTAAGACATGTCTGTTTACAAATGTAACGCATCGAAAGTTTTTCTGTCCTTGATGGATTGTTGTTTCTTGAAACCTGTTAAGATATAGAGCGACATGGCCGGCCTATTTTGGGTTGTAAGCCGGCAAGAAATAAAGCTAGTGATAATACGGCGATTGTCAGGAGGAAAGCCATCCCATGTGTTAAGTGTAGAGGATCATCGTCCAGCTGATAGACCGGCCGACCCCAGGAGCTGGCTGGACATCGCCTAAACCAACATTGGCATTCGTCAGCCAAGCGGATAAAACAGTGCAAACATGCTTCGTGGCTTCCGTTTGATTGGGACCTGGCGGAACATGGAGTGGCCACTCTAATGCTCGCTGGATGCCCAAAGTAGCGCACACAGACTGGTGTGGGGCGCAGTCGGCGCTGGGGGTGGTCGTGGCCCGGTATAGGCCTTGGTTGTCAAGGGAGACGGTTGTCATACACACGGCTATGAAGGAAATGGTTGTCATACACACGGCTATGAAGGAAATGGTTGTCATACACACGGCTATGAAGAAAATGGTTGTCATACACACAGCTATGAAGGAAATGGTTGTCATACACACGGCTATGAAGGAAATGGTTGTCATACACACGGCTATGAAGGAAACGGTTGTCATACACACGGCTATGAAGGAAATGGTTGTCATACACACAGCTATGAAGGAAATGGTTGTCATACACACAGCTATGAAGGAAATGGTTGTCATACACACGGCTATGAAGGAAATGGTTGTCATACACACGGCTATGAAGGAAATGGTTGTCAAACACACGGCTATGAAGGAAATGTTGTCAAACACACGGCTATGAAGGAAATGGTTGCAACCAAAACTGTCAAGGGAGATGGTTGTCATACACACGGCTATGAAGGAAATGGTTGTCAAACACACGGCTATGAAGGAAATGGTTGTCAAACACACGGCTATGAAGGAAATGGTTGCAACCAAAACTGTCAAGGGAGATGGTTGTCACATACACGGCTATGAAGGAAATGGTTGTCATACACACAGCTATGAAGGAAATGATTGTCATACACACGGCTATGAAGGAAATGGTTGCAACCAAAACTGTCAATGGAAATGGTTGGATTAAAGCACAGAAAAAACAACAACCCAAAAATGACAACATATCGTTGTTATAAAGTTAGCTTTAAACAAGGCATATGTTCAAACCATCTGTTGCATAGATGTATTGATTGACGTGTACGCTACAGGCCATGGTAGACATAAAGCTGATTCAGATAGTCTAGCCCCACTGTGGATAGTGAACTGACAAATGACCTGTCCTACACGCGATCAAATCAACCATGTACTATAAACTCCCAACCCAACTGATGTTTGTATATTGGACTGCATGGATAAAACGACGAGCGTGTGGTGCTGGGCACGGTTACCCTGACAACAGAGACGCCATAATGACGCCATAGTGATGGCTAATGACGTGCGTCTGACACCAGTAGAGAACAGGCTGTGTATCGGGATCAAGTCAAACAACGGGTGGTTCTACAGGTGGGCCATGTCCGGTGGGCCGTGTCCGGTGGTCCTACAGGTGGGCCGTGTCCGGTGGTCCTACATGTGGGCCGTGTCCGGTGGTCCTACAGGTGGGCCGTGTCCGGTGGTCCTACAGGTGGGCCGTGTCCGGTGGTCCTACATGTGGGCCGTGTCCGGTGGTCCTACAGGTGGGCCATGTCCGGTGGTCCTACAGGTGGGCCATGTCCGGTGGTCCTACAGGTGGGCCGTGTCCGGTGGTCCTACATGTGGGCCGTGTCCGGTGGTCCTACATGTGGGCCGTGTCCGGTGGTCCTACATGTGGGCCGTGTCCGGTGGTCCTACATGTGGGCCGTGTCCGGTGGTCCTACAGGTGGGCCATGTCCGGTGGTCCTACAGGTGGGCCGTGTCCGGTGGTCCTACAGGTGGGCCGTGTCCGGTGGTCCTACATGTGGGCCGTGTCCGGTGGTCCTACAGGTGGGCCGTGTCCGGTGGTCCTACAGGTGGGCCGTGTCCGGTGGTCCTACATGTGGGCCGTGTCCGGTGGTCCTACAGGTGGGCCATGTCCGGTGGTCCTACAGGTGGGCCGTGTCCGGTGGTCCTACAGGTGGGCCGTGTCCGGTGGTCCTACATGTGGGCCGTGTCCGGTGGTCCTACATGTGGGCCGTGTCCGGTGGTCCTACATGTGGGCCGTGTCCGGTGGTCCTACATGTGGGCCGTGTCCGGTGGTCCTACAGGTGGGCCATGTCCGGTGGTCCTACAGGTGGGCCGTGTCCGGTGGTCCTACAGGTGGGCCGTGTCCGGTGGTCCTACAGGTGGGCCGTGTCCGGTGGTCCTACAGGTGGGCCGTGTCCGGTGGTCCTACATGTGGGCCGTGTCCGGTGGTCCTACATGTGGGCCGTGTCCGGTGGTCCTACAGGTGGGCCGTGTCCGGTGGTCCTACAGGTGGCCCCAGTCAAACAAAGGGTGGTCCTACATGTGGGCCGTGTCCGGTGGTCCTACAGGTGGGCCGTGTCCGGTGGTCCTACAGGTGGGCCGTGTCCGGTGGTCCTACAGGTGGGCCGTGTCCGGTGGTCATACAGGTGGCCCCAGTCAAACAAAGGGTGGTCCTACATGTGGGCCGTGTCCGGTGGTCCTACAGGTGGGCCGTGTCCGGTGGTCCTACATGTGGGCCGTGTCCGGTGGTCCTACAGGTGGGCCGTGTCCGGTGGTCCTACATGTGGGCCGTGTCCGGTGGTCCTACATGTGGGCCGTGTCCGGTGGTCCTACATGTGGGCCGTGTCCGGTGGTCCTACATGTGGGCCGTGTCCGGTGGTCCTACAGGTGGGCCGTGTCCGGTGGTCCTACAGGTGGCCCCAGTCAAACAAAGGGTGGTCCTACATGTGGGCCGTGTCCGGTGGTCCTACAGGTGGGCCGTGTCCGGTGGTCCTACAGGTGGGCCGTGTCCGGTGGTCCTACAGGTGGGCCGTGTCCGGTGGTCATACAGGTGGGCCGTGTCCGGTGGTCCTACAGGTGGGCCGTGTCCGGTGGTCCTACAGGTGGCCCCAGTCAAACAACGGGTGGTCCTACAGGTGGCCCCAGTTAAATGTGCGCTGTTAGACCAACCACCGGGGTACCTGCGATCGTATCATGAAGAAAGACATCGACTTTTCTTTGCAATCTTGAACAATCCATCAAGTTCAATGCTTATGGCGGTATCTAAAGATCTGCATCAACTTTCCAAAAGCCTGGTCTGAAGCAAACAACTTGTCAATGTGAAGCCGAGGTGTTCACTCTAAGAGCTTGCACCGAAAACATCGTCCCTTGTACAGATAACGGCCATGCGTTTAAGATCAACAAAACAGCAGATTAGGGTCTCAACACTGCCAGTAACAAGATTGGAAGCGGTAGAGATGCCGTTTATGAACGCTGATAAGATGCAATGCCGGTCGATAAGATGCAATGCCGGTCGATAAGATGCAATGCCGGTCGATAAGATGCAATGCTGATGCAAACATACTGTTTTGATTTTATCACTAGAGAAATCTGATCAATCGTAAAATGTTCATCAACTAGTGGACGGTTCCATAGAAAACAATAAAGTCGACATAAAATAAGGCCCTTGCCACACTCAAATCTAACACGACTACACAAGCACAAGGTGAAACCATGAAAAGGGTTCAAGTCAGCCTTTGTTAGAGGGCCTTATCTTGACAATATAATCACAGCCCTAGGGTATCCAGTCAACTTTCAAAAGCCACCTTACTTTTTTGGCAAATAAAAAGGGCATAAACTCATTAATTTTCAGAGGAAACAATTCATATCGGGTTTTTTTTTCAGACAGGGGAAACAAATTTCTGAGATAAAATCTTTATGGACCAGGCAAAGTTCGTCACCGTGGGTTAAAAGTAGAGCTAACATCAACCAGCTAGGCCAGTGAAATGATGACACAGTCACAGCAGAGGTGAGTCAGCGCCAGTTGATGGTGACACATGTCAGGGCCATCTCCACCAACAGGAAAGTTCACTTTTCATATCCCAGTCACCCTAAGGATAAGATCTGTACGTCGTCAGTCTAATCAGCCGATACAACACTGGCTCTATACAACAAGCGCCCAATTCAAGTGATATTTTTAAATCCCAGCCACGTCAGTTGCGAGTAACCTTCACTTGCATTACCGCACATGAACTACACGCGCCCACTGACGCAGCGTGTGTAACAACGTAATGAACTCAACTAGTTGTAAAAATCTTAATGCACCGACAGTTCAGAGCAGAAGGGAAATTCCCCCCCCCCCCCCAAAAAAAAAAAAACAAAAAAAAAAAAAAAAACTGTAAATTCCACGAACTGCCCAACTGAGGTTGTTTTCCCTCTTCCCATTACACAGGTTATCTTGTCTCGACAGGAATCAAGGTCTAGTTGACCAGGACCAGTGTGTCTGGTAGAGCTAAACGTTTCATTTACAAATGTAAAATTCAAGTAACAACTCGAGGTATTGATCCAACCTTTGGGGCACGTCACTGTACAAGGCGTTGATAAGGAGCCTGTCGACCCAGTACCAGTTGTGTTGGCTACAGTGTGGGTCTGTGTGTGTGTGTGTGGGGGGGGGGGGTCACAAGAAATTTATTACAGAGAACAGAGACGAGGTTAAAGAGCCGTCAAGCCTTTTTATTTGTGTTTGTTTTAGTCAAGTGGTGGAAAGCCCTCCCTCCCTGCCCCGCCTCACCTTCACGTATGTTGACGATATGCTTGTGTCGGAGACTAGAAAGAATCTGAATCTCACGCCTGATCCGAACCAGGTCATTTTCGTCTTGAATCTTGGTCTTCTTGATGTACTTGATGGCTACCTGCAACACAAGTACACTTTGTTAAACCTCGTCTACTCACCTCATCAGCAAAGGTAAACAACACTGACCTATGAGGCAACATTTGCTGTTCTACCATTGGACAGCTAGTGCTGGGGAACATGTTATGTTAGCAAGTGCTGTTTGAGGTCAACAAATAGCTATCATTTGATTAGATGCGGACAGTCGGAATTATCTGCATAGAATTCAGACGGTCAAGTGTAAATGACAAAGAGCGATGCACCTAGTCCAAGTCAAATGTTGGACGTCATAAAATTGGTAACAAGTGAATCATAACAGGGCGGACATGTTCTTGAGTGCTAGCACCTGAAGACTGATTTGGTTTGTCTCTTCACCAGACAGCCTTCAGATGAACACGACTTTAACCCTTAAGTGCTAGCACCTGAAGGTGAAGAAAATTATGCCTTCAGATGTAAACAACAGACGACTCAGGTATGCGAGTGTCATCCATTGTAGTACACGGAGATTGTAGTGAATGATTAACCCTGCTCTACTGCGGGTGGTTGGTGGACAAGCACACGGAGATTGTAGTGAATGATTAACCCTGATCTACTGTGGGTGGTTGGTGGACAAGCACACGGAGATTGTAGTGAATGATTAACCCTGCTCTAGCTCTACGGCGGGTGGTTGGTGGACAAGCACACGGAGATTGTAGTGAATGATTAACCCTGATCTACTGTGGGTGGTTGGTGGACAAGCACACGGAGATTGTAGTGAATGATTAACCCTGCTCTACTGTAGGTGGTTGGTGGACAAGCACACGGAGATTGTAGTGAATGATTAACCCTGCTCTACGGCGGGTGGTTGGTGGACAATAGCTGGAGTTTGATTTGTAGAAGGATGACTGATGGATACAGATCGGCGATATACAAGTGGATCCAAAATGGATGAGTAAACGATACATATTAGATGATATATAGGTGGTTATATATTAGATACTATATATGTGGTTACTTATTAGATGATACATAGGTGGATACAGAATGGAGTGTATATAAGCGGATGCAGATTGACGGCGTGTATAAGTGGTTACATATTGGATGATATATTGATGGATACATATTAGATGATATATATGGGTGGATAAATATTGGATGATATATATGGGTAAATACATATTGGATGATATATATGGGCGGATACATATTAAACGATATATATGGGTGAATACATATTGGACGATATATATGGGTGGATACATATTTGACGATATATGGGTGGATACATATTGGACGATATATATGGGTGGACACATATTGGATGATATATGGGTGGATACATATTTGACGATATATGGGTGGATACATATTGGACGATATATATGGGTGGACACATATTGGATGATATATGGGTGGATACATATTGGACGATATATGGGTGAATACATATTGGACGATATATGGGTGGATACATATTGGAGCTTGTATAGATGGAAAAAAGGTAGAGCGTAATGTTGGTCATGTTTAAAAAATGCACATTAGAAGATAACACAGTACGTCTTCTGCTATCGATAAGAATACAGATAGCTCTACACTGTGATCAGCAGGAGCAGATAAAATGTATCGTATGAAATGAATGATACACTTCTAAGAAACTTATCGTCGTTTCAAAAACTTGATAGTAAGAGAACAAAGAACCAGCAGGTGTGAAGTCTCCCCTGACACAAGCCGCCTCTGCCCTCTTGTTAGGAGAGTTAACAGGCTGATCAATGCATTGATTCGTGTGGCAACCAAGTTCCTTTCAATTCGTTCACAAGTTCTTTGTTTGATAACAACATGCAAAGTAAAAATAATTCACAAGCAAAGCGGTCTTTTGTGTGAAAGTGGCCAAAACGTTTTTTGATTAACTGTAACCGTAAGATGAATGTACTAGCACGTTGAATGGAGACATTACACCTTTTAATGCAGTAAGTTCAAACCTTACTTGTCCGTAGGATGAGCTTAGAACAACCGTGCCTACAGTACAGGAGAATAGAGGATGTAAAAATGGGAATCTCTTCGTGAGATCCTAATTACATGTCATTAAATAATTACGGATCTGGAGGTGGAAGCTTATTCGGGATTTCGGGATACGTATTATTTTAATGAGATACTATGCAATAATTTATCAATGGCGTTAATGATACCATTGACCACCTAACGACAGCGATGATTCTATCAGCCCCACGAGAGACCGACACATATAGAGCCTCTACCCGCGACCATCACAAGCAAGGAGAGAGAGTAGGGAATTGGAATCCTTAACATTCCAGCCTTGCCGCGTGTTCCCCATTCATCTCAAGAGTGTTTGCACCTGCTCTACCTGTCAAGGTGATTTAAAAACGAACTAACATTTACAACGTCAATTAAATCTTATTGGTGGGGGCTGTTAAGCAGTTCAACTAAATGCCTACAAAAAAAAAATAGGACTGTACTTGGTAACGTTTCACTTGATGAATGCCTCAGGCCCAGAGTTCCATATTACGTTGCTAGTACACCTCTCTATACAAGCACCATTGACACAGGTCATAATAAATAAAGTACTAGGGCGTCACGAGAAATTTCTTTACTCATGTGTGAGTACATACGTGCACGTGAGTACATATGTACACCAATTTACTCATGTGTACACAAATTTGCATACTCGCATGCCAATATCATGGACATTACATTCTTTTGGTATTTCCAAGGACGGAATTTTTAAAGTTAGTTAGGGTCTAGTGATGAAACTTTGATTATAGAAAGAAAAACCAATCGAAAGGAGCTGATTTAGGCCCTAGTGAACACATTCAAAACCTAACAGCGTATCTATGGCGGTGTGGTGAAGTAATGGTAGGTCGTGTGTAATACATGATCCAATACAGCAGAACTTTAGGGTGGTGTAGTGAACTAATGGTTGGTCGTGTGTAATACATCCAATACAGCAGAACTTTAGGGTGGTGTAGTGAACTAATGGTAGGTCGTGTGTAATACATCCAATACAGCAGAACTTTAGGGTGGTGTAGTGAACTAATGGTAGGTCGTGTGTAATACATCCAATACAGCAGAACTTTAGGGTGGTGTAGTGAACTAATGGTAGGTCGTGTGTAATACACTCAATACAGCAGAACTTTAGGGTGGTGTAGTGAACTAATGGTAGGTCGTGTGTAATACACTCAATACAGCAGAACTTTAGGGTGGTGTAATGAACTAATGGTAGGTCGTGTGTAATACATCCAATACAGCAGAACTTTAGGGTGGTGTAATGAACTAATGGTTGGTCGTGTGTAATACATCCAATACAGCAGAACTTTAGGGTGGTGTAATGAACTAATGGTTGGTCGTGTGTAATACATCCAATACAGCAGAACTTTAGGGTGGTGTAATGAACTAATGGTTGGTCGTGTGTAATACATCCAGTGTGAACTAATGGTTGGTCGTGTGTAATGCACTCAATACAGCAGAACTTTAGGGTGGTGTAATGAACTAATGGTAGGTCGTGTGTAATACATCCAATACAGCAGAACTTTAGGGTGGTGTAATGAACTAATGGTTGGTCGTGTGTAATACATCCAATGCAGCAGAAGGTAACTGTGCGATCATGCGTGAACTCTACAGGCGGCAAGTTCTCGAATCATGTTTCCCATAAAGTGGCACCCTGCTGGTCTGTTGGTGGGCGAGAAGAATGTGCACAACACGCCACGAAGGTCGGGACACAGACATGTATCCTATGTCTGTCTTAGTCATACAGACATTATTTCTCCTAATGGAAATTTACTTTTAATTAAGATTCCTGAGCCGCCTCTTCAGTATTTTTTTCTCGCGCCCCGGTCAAGAGGTATTTAATCTTAGAGTTAGTAACTAAGTGCTTGAACAACCTCTTTACAACAATACAAAAGATTAGCGACACGAGATGAGAGCAACGACTGAGACGGCCGACTAGACCAGGGAACGTGTCTGTGGGCAGACGATGGGTAACACCAGGAATGTACTTCTGGCTGTGTTGGCGGGAAACTAAATCAAACAAAGCTATTCATGCAAGCCAATGCTATTTCTGTCACTGATATTATCACTGCTACGGATCATCTTTAATGACTGTGTAAATACTGAGAACAAATCTTTAATGCAATTTACGCGAAGCTTTAACAGCCGTCGACATGATTTCAATAAAAGTGCATCAAAATAGCGAGACAAACATAGATGGTAGGTGAAACATAAACCATCTGCATGACAGCACAAGTGTCTAGCGCAGCTGTACCATAGATGTACAGCAGCAATCGATAGCTTCCCGTCACACACACGGGTTTGTCAGTTCATAAGCTGGGAATAAAGAGGCGATATGAAAAATAGCCGATTCGTTTTGGAGAAAAGTAAAAAAAAAAAAAAAAAAAAAAAAAAAAAAATCGCGGGCCACTGGGGGGGGGGGGGGGGGGGGGGGGAAGAGAGAATGGAAACCACTTCTGGCACCTGGCAGTCAAGACTTTGTTTCTTCAACAGGCATTATCTTACAGTCTAAAACAATTGGTTCATAGATTACACCATCGAAGAAGCTGCGCTAACTACTCTACAAGCGACCTAATAAAATAAAGACAATGTTTACAAACACGCTACCTACAAGAATGGTTGCTAATGCCCTACATTGAATATCCTCGTTCAACTGCTTTAAATAACTTCGTCACTATATCGATCAATATCAATCTGTTTGACAAGTTTGACTTTTAGTTAGGCCTTAAGGCAGAGACCTGCTAGGTAAACCTAGTGACCGAAATGCTGCTGAATGCACACTGTCCACGGGCTAGATACCTCAATTACTTGACCTTGGCCTTTCACGTTGTGTCTTAATCGCTGAGGTGCCCAAACAAACTATAGCTTAGTGAGTGTCAGCTCTAGAGGCCACAAGCTGTGTGATAGAACAGCTGCTTGTTGGCTACTTGATGGCTTAAGAGTGTCAATGCTAATAAGAAGAAACGCTATATGTAAGGAAGCTTACAACAAACGATGTGTTAGATGTTTAAAACCCAATTCTAATTATGTTTTACAACAAACGATGTGTTAGATGTTTAAAACCCAATTATAATTATGTTTAACTTACAGAATATGCCCCATTCAAGTTATGTTTATCTTCAAGAAGATACAAATTCAAGTTATGTTTAACTTCAAGAAGAAACAAATTCAAGTTATGTTTAACTTCAAGAAGATACAAATTCAAGTTATGTTTAACTTCAAGAAGAAACAAATTCAAGTTATGTTTAACTTCAAGAAGATACAAAGTCAAGTTATGTTTAACTTCAAGAAGATACAAATTCAAGTTATGTTTAACTTCAAGAAGAAACAAATTCAAGTTATGTTTAACTTCAAGAAGATACAAAGTCAAGTTATGTTTAACTTCAAGAAGATACAAATTCAAGTTATGTTTAACTTCAAGAAGAAACAAATTCAAGTTATGTTTAACTTCAAGAAGATACAAAGTCAAGTTATGTTTAACTTCAAGAAGATACAAATTCAAGTTATGTTTAACTTCAAGAAGATACAAATTCAAGTTATGTTTAACTTCAAGAAGATACAAATTCAAGTTATGTTTAACTTCCAGAGCAAAAAAAAATGTTTTCAACAGTCCGATAACAACTGCTCTTTTAGTGTTGACTTTGTAGCGCTCGGCCAAAATAAACGTCCATTGGACGTAGCTAGGAACTGATTAGACAATCGAAAACCTTCACGAGACAGCTAACCCACCAACGTTGAAACTATTTTGAATGAAAACAATGAACCTTTCTATGAAACCATACTACAAGATTCCCTGAAGTCACACACACACGGTGACATTGTGAAGCCCGTGATTATCAGCCTAGGATCTAGATCGCCCAAACAAAAGTTCCGCGTCTATAATTAGACGTATTTTATCTCCGGCCCCCCTCATCATGACTGAGTAGGTTAGTGTCCTCATGTTCCTGTATCTAAGGAATGCAGGCCAGTGTACACACCACTCAGTGCTATAACCGTTCAACATTAAGGGACTCTGACGTTCTATGTTTACTTTCAAGTCCCGCCTAATATTTAGAAATAACTGCCGTGTCCGTTTACAAGAGAGAAGAAATATTATAAAAATAGTTTCTTTCTTCTAACACATTTCAACTTTCCCAGAATAGAGCGACCACAACTGGTCTCGCCACACTGGCACTAGAATAGCATTTTTTAAATTCTTCTTTCTTTGATTGTTGTATGTCCATTTGGGAATGTAGAAGTAGGATGAGCAGTAGTAAATTATCAAGCTATACCGAGTCTACTGACAAGAGTCTAATGGACCTTTATTATTTCATTGGTGACCAAAAGTAAGCAACACGTGTACTAGCGTTAGTGACCTATAATACCATCAATGCTGTTATAACTCAGGTTTTAGCGCGTGCTAATGATACAACGTTATAGCAAGCTAGTGAGATACAAGTAGTTTGAAAAGGTTAAGCTTCAAAGATGAGCTAACTATTGAATGTCATCAAATTTCAAAGGGGTCGTTGATACATGACGTCAACTATGGAGAGGGGTGGGGTCAAACTCAACTAAGTAGGAAGGGTGGAGGGGTTCTAGAATTATTTTTTTTACTTGGATATACTGTATTTATTAAATGAAAAAAAAAATCTGAAACTGAAAGGTTACTGAATAACGTCTGATTTTGATCAGGGGCCTGGCTTTTGTAATGACATGTAAAGGTCGTGGGTCGGAGTAAAAAGAAACTGCGTGGACGTTCCTTGCGGACATTGTAAAAACATGAAAACTATCAAGGTTTGCTGACTGCCATGTGTATGTACTTTAATAGGTCACTGACCTATATGGCATTTATACGCCAGCAAAAAAAAAAAGCTTCAGTATTTTACGGAATGTGCGTGAACCCCATTAGCCAAATACTAAATGGTGTACACAGTATCGTCAAAGGTTTATTCGCTAAGACGAGACAGCTGTTGGAATGAGGGCACCTCTCTAGATAAGACCGAGATTATTGAAGTGTGACGGACGACTAATCATGCATAGCCACGGGCAGGTCTGACTCAAATAATCTACACCTCACACAGGACTCGTGGCTCATTCCATGGGAGACCTTAACCACTACTAGCGGGAGGGCTAAATAGACTAGACTTATCATTTATTTAAAATAAAAAAAAAACAGCATTGCCCGTTCCGTTCCGCCCCCCCCCCCCCTCCACATTTTCCCACCCGATATTAGATTTTAAAAAATCCCAACATAAAGATATCTTGTAAAAGGTCAGCTTGCATCTAGAAAGTGCTGTCAACAGTTGAAAACTCTCACTATAGAGGTGCTCTAATGCTTGACTGACACCATGAACATTCTAATAAACACAACTGATCAAATGAATCCTGGCGTATCACACACCTGACAGCAAGCAGATATAGCCTTATTGTACCACGTTTTTGTAAGCACTTGTTTCTATGCTGCCCTCATATTTCAATCTTAAAAGAAAAGAATCCATACACAAGGTACACATGCCTAAGAGGAATCCACCCCCCCCCCCCCCACTCCAATCGATGAATTATAGTTTTTAAAAAACATGACACTTGTTAAACTGTCCACTGTTTTTTTTAAGTCTTTGTTAGCTGTATGTAGTGTGTGGGACTTGAGAGAAAAACTTGCAGGATCACTTAAAGGAAAAATTAAAAGGTTCACATTAGGAAGAACAGGCAGAAATGGATTTATTGAATAATGAACTGATCTCACTGAAGATAAAAGGTTTACACATCAGGAAGATTTATTGAATAGATTTATTGAATAATGAATTGATCTATTAGGAACATTTGGCCTATCACATTACAGTATCCACTGGATGGTGGAACATATAAAGCTAACATGCCACCTATAACATGTGAATAAAACATGTTCTGCTGTGGTAATACAAGTTAGGGCTTGTGAAACCTACATATCACTATGGTAGTATGGTATAACAAGTGAGAAGAAAAAAGTAGTACAGTTTGGTGTAAAAATTGTATCTTGTCACAATGGAATATATAAAACATGACATTACTTCATTTCCTCATGCAATAAATCACTGAAAGAAACATTGTTATAAAGGCATGATTTGAACTGAAAGTCTACAATATGTTCATGATAAATTCATGGCATGAGAAAAAGATAAAATAATAATAGAAATAATATCTAAAATTCTATTTGAAGTACAATGGGGTGCCCTAGTTAAAGATGTCATACAGGATCAGTATGAGATGGGTAACCACTAGGTTGTCATATAATCAACCAAGTTTCACAACTATGACAGCTCATTCAAATACAACATAGCTCACCAAACAAAAGTCATCTGATAAGATCCAGCTCTAAAAACAAACCCTGAGCCTATTTGACTACATGACAGTGTAGTGTAATGTAGATAAATGGTACTTACATGTTCTCCAGTGCTTTTATCAGCAGCTAGTTTAACTTTTCCATAAGTTCCTTCACCTAAGGTTTTTAACAGCTGAAATCTGTTTTTCAAGTTGTGCCTTTGGTGATGTATCAGTAAGCGATTGTTACTGCAGCCCAAGTGTTTGGAGCTGGTGTGAGTTTTCTCTTGCCCAGAGACAGTTTTACTGGGTGGACCTGGCACCAGGCTCAGGGTTGCTGTGTCGGGATGCCATGAACTGGAGCGAGGTTTTCTCAGTGCTAATTGGTGCTGGTGTGTGGACAACACTTTGGCTGCTTGACGAATCTTGGGCTGAGGTTTACTTGTGACAGGTACTTGTCTTTTCAGTCTCATGTCTCTAAAATCTATGATAGCACTAGACATATTTCTTCTCTTGTCATTAGAAATCAAGTCAATTGTGTCTCCCAATAAATACATCTGAAAAATAAAGTCTTGCCTGATGTAAACCATTCATTTCAAATGAAATATAGGCTACTTAATATAAAAATAAACAGATGTATGTACAAGCATCTTTATTTTTAACTTTCTACTTTTATTTATGTGTTACAAAGCAATGATTGCAGTTAGTTGATGTCCCACTTCTTCACATGGGACCATAATTTGCTGTGAGACCTCAAAAAGACAAACACTGTGCCATAATATGATTTTTTCAAAACATGACTATATAATATTGTACTGTTGTGGTCAAGGATAAGGTGAGAAGTAGAGATTTGCCGGTCAGATCTAGGGTTAAATACATCATAGTGACAGAAAAATATAAAAATTTCTGAGATACAATCTAATCAATTCAACTGATGTTACACTATTTGTACTAGAACCATGTTAAATTTGCTCTTTATTATAAAGCATTTAAATAGGCCAATGTACATGTAAACTTTTTTTCTCAATAGTAACCCACTTTTGTCTTCTAATAACAATGCTAACTGAGGATGGCAAAATGTTCTTTAATTTTTACTTTCGTCTTTTTTTTTTTTTAAATAACTTTAAATGATTCTTATAAACAATATAGTATAGTAAATAATGTTTGCTATTAATCAAGTGATAACTGATATCTGAGCTAGAGCAGATTGTTATACACATCTATCTAGAAAAAAAAAGAGCTATGCGGTTTCTAAAAGTTATTTTAAGAACCACACTTATTAACATATAATTTACCAGTTCAAAATGTTGAATTATTAAATTTTAATGTCTAATATATTAAAACCAACAGCCCATATTATTTTATTTTATTAAAAGGGAATATACTTAATATATAAAAATATCTGAATGTATTGATTTTGATCCTAAAAAAAAGTAAAATTACCCTTTCAAATTTGGTGTCAGTAGGGCAGACAACAAAGTAGAGTTCACCTGTTTCTGTGAACTGTGACTAAGAAGGGGTTTTGTCAAGTGGTCAGTTCTATACTTAACCTTTTCTACTTTTCCTAAGTAGAGTCAGGTACCTATTAAATCTGGGTAGACTCAGGACATACTATAGTCTCCAGTCCTTAACCTGAACAGGTGACTGTTATGGTAGCATTGAATTGGGGTGCTTTTCCATACAACAACACTGACCCATTCACATTTTAACAGATGCATATATTTTTTTATTGATATACCAAGAAAACAAAATATGAACTAAAAAGTTATAATTATTAACAGTAGGCATAATAATAGACCTACATTTTAATAATAATAAATAATTCAATCATTATTAAGCCTAATATATTCATAAGACCTAGATTATAGTTAGTAATTAGCTTAGGCCATAATCCAATATATTAATAATGTAGCCTATCAACATACTATTAAGAAGTATTAAGACTATAACTATACACACCCAAAAAAAAAGGATAAAATAAAATATTTTGGCTAATAAATAGGGTACATAGTGTAGCTAGAATCTAGGTCTACATCATACATATGTAGTTTAGGCCTATATCATACATCTAGGACTGTTGATAATTTTTAAAAACCTTGAAGTAAATATATATAATATTAATTTATTTAATTGATTTACTAACAGGTCAATAGGACTAATTTAAAAAATTTTAATGTCCTATTTACTATTTTATATAGATTCTAGGACTAGAACCAAAATATGTATTTAGTTTTTTTGATTGGTCACAGTCTTTATAATAATGCCTATTGAGTTATTGTATTATTAGGCCTAGGCCTAAATGTAATACAAAATGATTAAAAACCTATTAGGCCTATTAAATTATTATTTTTTAGAATAGGCCCTAATTAAATCTATATCTAGGGCTTAAAGGCCATATGTGATATTGATATTGCCTAATAATAATATATTAGGCCTAGGGCCTAAATAAATATTTTATTGGTAATAATTTAATAAAGCCGAGCATTTAGAATATTTTTGCCTATATTAGATACAATACTATTAATACTAATAGAACTCTAGATCTAATCTAGATACTCGAGATAGGATTAGATCTCTGATCTGGATTCTAGATTTAGTCTAGTCTAAGAAGATAAGAAATCTAGATCTAGATCTATCAAGTTTATTACTTATTTAATACCATAGTATTAAGTCTTAATAAGTTAGTATTAAAAGTAGTTAATCTATCTAGTTTTGAGTACTAGCCTGGCCTAGTCTAGCTTGAGTCTAGAGTACTCTAGAGACCTAGACGAGGCATTTGTCAAATTTCCTATTTTTCTAGTCTATATCCTGCTGGAATCATGAAAATAAGTGACTAAGATATCCGAAGCGCTTTCACAACAAACACACATAATTATAAACTACATCATGGCCGTTACTAGACTGGATCTACTCCTAAAGTACAGTTACAGTCACATTTTAGGGCGGAGCCAAACTATCTCTACGGACTCCACTCTTTCTCTATTTTCGCCGCTTGGCGGACGATCAATCAGCTGCTACGATCGTGATGTCATGGGCCGAACAACATAAAAACAAAAAATAAACAATGCGCAAGAGCAAAGAGTTTTGAACTTTTAATAATAATAAAATGTATCTGTATTATTTATTAACGTTTTATGTTTATAAATTTTTTGTGTGCTCAAAAATAAAAAAAAAATAAAAAAATTTCACCACTGTATTCTGTCTATATTTTAAAAATAAAATATTTATCCGCTGGGTCAAAGTTTTTTTTTCAAAAGCACCTGTCTAAGACCATCTGCTACTTGTTTGGGCCTAACGGTAAAACCCTTTCTTTTTCTATACTCACTACTCGCTTAAGTCGCAAAATCTGTCGAGTTTTACACTTTTACACACATAAAAATAATTTAAATATTTGTTTACTATTAAAACAGTCTGATACACTGTTCAATTATCAGTTCAATTATAAAGTTTATTTTTAAAAAAAGAAAATCAATGCTCAAAAATGTAAATAAAGAGAAACATCACATGCTGGAAGGAGTCCAATTATTAAGGTAGATGCAGGGGCGTAGCGAGGGGGGGGGGGGGGGGGGGCGGGGGTGCGGACCGCACCGGGTGACACCATTTAGGGGGGTGACACCAAGGCAAAAAATAGCAAAATATATAGAGAAAAACTTGAGGGGGGGTGCAAATCGAAAGTTTGAGGGGGGGGGGGGGTGCAAATCGAAAACTTGAAAGTTTGTCCCCGGGAAGGGTCGCAACGCCTCTGGGGGGTGACACCATTAAGTGCCGCACCGGGTGACACCCGACCTCGCTACGCCACTGGGTAGATGTGAACAGTGGCGTAGCGAGGTCGGGTGTCACCCGGTGCGGCACTTAATGGCGTCACCCCCCCCCCCCAGAGGCATAGAGACCCTTCCCAGGGACAAACTTTCAAATTTTCGATTTGCACCCCCCCCCTCAAACTTTCGATTTGCACCCCCCCCCCTCGAGTTTTCGATTTGCACCCCCCCCCCCCTCGAGTTTTTCTCTATATATTTTGCTATTTTTTGCCTTGGTGTCACCCCCCTAAATGGTGTCACCCGGTGCGGTCCGCACCCCCCGCCCCCCCCCCTCGCTACGCCCCTGGATGTGAAGATCGTTGAGCACGGAATGAGTGTGGACAGAAAGCGTGGTCGTAACCGTTGTAGAATATAATTTCCCAATAATCCGTTATCTTCAAATATTTAGTTAGTAGGCGTATCAATAAAAAAAAAGTAAAGGCCTTAGCAATTATTGAGTACATTTTTTAAAGTGCATATGATAATGATGAATTATTATTACGAGAACGTGAGGTTTGTTTAAGAAGGTAAGATGTCCCGTTTAAATCACGTGAAAATACGCTGTGTATTCAACAGATGCGACTCGAGCAAGCAACGTGTTTTCTATGTAAATATTCACAGGGCCGATAAGCGCGTCAATGTCAAAACCAGCTAAAAGGTAAAAATGTAAATAACGCTCTATTGTTGTCATTCATATTATTTTAAGAAAAACTTATTGCACGCCAGTCTGTCATTCTAGTCTAGATCTAGATCTAGGCCTTTTTATTTCAATATTTTAAATTAATGATAGGCTACAACTAGGCCTACAATTTAAGAATTTGTTAACCCCCCCCCCCCCTCGCCTGAAAAGGTGCCTGAATTAAATTCTCAGTAGGTTGGCCTTTAGACTAAGAAAAAAAAATGGATATTGATTTAGATCAAAATTCTATAATGTAGAACTATAGGCCTAAGTAGGCTATCATTAAAAAAAACATTTCCGAGAAATATGCACGGGAAGCTACTCTAATGGAAAACATGAAGCCGGAAGTAACGATAATCATAAACAACAATTTATATTTTATAGATATTCTAGAAGTAGATTTAGAATCTAGAACTTGGGCTCGAAGCTGCAATCTTATTAAAAGTAAATCTATTGCCCCAGTACTCACACATATATATAATTATAAATAGATCTAGAATCTAGAGTTAGCTGACGTTGTTATCGTAACACATATAATTATTAAATTAACTTTCATTTTTAGAAAAGTCAGGAGTCAGGACTCATCACTATCAGAGTATCAGTCTGTCATCAGTCAGTAGTTCAGTAGTAGTGATAGTGAGTAGTTCACTATGTCTATAAATAATTGACTATAATCACTCTACTAGAAGTACTAAACTACTGTACTAGTCATTGATAGTATAAATAATTGGTTATCTATCGTTTTAGGTGTGTAAAATCGGCCGAGGCTAGTAATGTGCAAAAAAGTTGCCTCATTGACATTGTTAAGGCTTTAATTTAAGTCAAATTATACTTTAATAGAAGTAGGCTATATTGTGATATATTTGTGTCAAATATTATAGATAACTGAATAATAAAACAAAATCCTTGGTTAAATATCAATACAAGCCAGAAATTAACTTTAAACAGCGTGTTTGGTTGCAATATTTGTTATATAAACAGTGGCTATCTGTAAATTAGAGCAGTTTCACCTGAATCTCTAACTATAATTAAAAAAAAACTCAACTAAAAAAAGAAATAAATAGGCCTATATGAAAAGACTGTATTATTGTAATATAGTCCTAATTTTTGTTTATTAAATCTAGGCTACTATTATTGTGATGGTGTTAGCATCCCTGATTTTCTGTCATTGTAATCAAGAACATACTATAATATGAATACGTTGTTGTTTATAAATTTATTTACAGATTTTATTATAATGGGCAAGGAAAAGCCAGGATTTTTAACCCCAAAAGCCATAGCCAACCGAATCAAGGCCAAAGGTCTTCAAAAATTGCGATGGTACTGTCAGATGTGTCAGAAACAGTGTCGAGATGAGGTATTTAAAAGTAACAGAGTTAAATGTCATATTCAATAATGGTAAATTCTTAATTGACATATGTTTTTACTTAATTTGTTTTGAAATTTAAAATTCGAATAATTACTAAACAATTGTACACACCTGCTTTTGACTTGTAATGATTTTAACCATTTCTGGTTTCCAGAATGGATTTAAGTGCCACCTGACGTCCGAGTCCCACCAGAGACAACTGCTGCTGTTTGCTGAGAACCCAGACAAGCACATTGACGACTTCTCCCAGTGCGTGCAGCCAAGCTAAATCCTCTGATACTTTCTAATATACAGTCAAACCTACCATTGTATTACTCATTCAAACTTGCAATTGTATTACACAGTTAGACCTGTGATTGTATTACACAGTTAGACCTGTGATTGTATTACACAGTCAGACCTGTGATTGTATTACACAGTCAGACCTGTGATTGTATTACACAGTTAGACCTGTTTATTTGTTTGAGCCTCATCACACATTACTCTCTGACCCCGCAGGAACTTTGAGACAGAGTATCTGGAGCTGCTGCGTCGAAGGTTTGGCACCAAGCGTGTTCACGCTAACATTGTGTACCAAGAGTACATAGCCTTTAGAGAACACGTGCACATGAACTCAACTCAGTGGGAAACTCTCACAGAATTTGTCAAGTACTTGGGGAAAGAAGGTTTGAGACTAGTGTAGCGTCTTTAGTAGTTGTACAGGAAGCTATGTTGCCTCTAGCATTTGTCCTGTTTGCAGTACACAGCTTGTCTTACTGCTGTTGTGTGTCTGAGAGGCAGAATATCACAGTTGTAGCTTGAGCATGTACCAACTGTTTGGAACAATCTGTCTTATGTAGCATATTTAAAGCTACTTGAACTGTTTGAAACAATCTTTCTTGTGTAGCATGTTGAAAGCCACGTGAACTGTCTGACGTGAATGTCTTCTCCCCCTTCTCCTGCCAGGGAAATGCCTAGTTGACCTGTCTGACGTGAATGTTTTCTCCCCCTTCTCCTGCCAGGGAAATGCCTAGTTGACTACACTGAAAAGGGCTGGTTCATCACGTACATTGACAGAGACCCAGAAACCATTAGAAAACAGGAGGCCATCAAAGCTAAAGAAAAAATGGACGCCACTGATGATGAGCGCATCTCCAAGTTTATAGAAAAGCAAATAGAAAGGGCTAAAGACACAAGCACCAGCAGGGATGTGGAATTCACAGATCTGAACAGAGAAGATGAATCTGAGAAAATTACCTTCAATCTTGCTGCTGTGAAAAAAGTAGAACCTGTTTTAAAACATCCAGAGTGGGTTCTTTTGTCATACAAATTCCTGCTTTTTATTTTTGGCTCAATACATTAACACTCTTCCTAAAATCAAAGTTGTTTTACAACAATGCAGATATTAGTTGAATTAACTACTTTTCTACACCATAATATTTTTGTTGCAAAATTGTTTAGTTTCCAAAATATGTAATCAACAATATTTGCAATGATTTTAATATCTTTCAATTGTTTAGGTTAGTAAAGTTCACCTAATTTATTTTAGAGCAAGTTCGTCAAGTAATCCACTGGTTTCCACCAAAAAAGTCACAGAAAAAACAAAACCGCCCACATCAAGCAAGGCAGGAGAAAAGAGAAAAGCCAAAACAGCCCTGGATGAGATAATGGAGGTCTGATATTGTCTGGCTTTTTGAAAGTGGCAGATTTTGTCTGCTAGAAAAGTTGGTAGCAAGTTTTGTCAGCTAGAAAAGTTGGAAGCAAGTTTTGTCAGCTAGAAAAGTTGGAAGCAAGTTTTGTCAGCTAGAAAAGTTGGAAGCAAGTTTTGTGGAAAAAAGGCCAAGTCAGAGTGACCTGGTGTGACTGATAGGCATCATTCAGTACAATTGTGTGAGAAATATTGGCATCTTTCAGTACAATTGTGTGATCAGTACAGTTGTGTGAGAAATATTGGCATCTTTCAGTACAATTGTGTGTGAAATATTGGCATCATTCAGTAGAATTGTGTGAGAAATATTGGTATCATTCAGTAGAATTGTGTGAGAAATATAGGCATCATTCAGTACAATTGTGTGAGAAATATTGGCATCATTCAGTAGAATTGTGTGAGAAATATTGGCATCATTCAGTAGAATTGTGTGAGAAATATTGGCATCATTCAGTAGAATTGTGTGAGAAATATTGGCATCATTCAGTACAATTGTGTGAGAAATATTGGCATCATTCAGTAGAATTGTGTGAGAAATATTGACATCATTCAATACAATTGTGTGAGAAATATTGACATCATTCAGTACAATTGTGTGAGAAATATTGACATCATTCAGTACAATTTTGTGAGAAATATTGGCATCATTCAGTAGAATTGTGTGAGAAATATTGGCATCATTCAGTACAATTGTGTGATCAGTACAATTGTGTGAGAAATATTGGTATCATTCAGTAGAATTGTGTGAGAAATATAGGCATCATTCAGTACAATTGTGTGAGAAATATTGGCATCTTTCAGTACAATTGTGTGATCAGTACAATTGTGTGAGAAATATTGGCATCATTCAGTAGAATTGTGTGAGAAATATTGGCATCATTCAGTAGAATTGTGTGAGAAATATTGACATCATTCAATACAATTGTGTGAGAAATATTGACATCATTCAGTACAATTTTGTGAGAAATATTGGCATCATTCAGTAGAATTGTGTGAGAAATATTGGCATCATTCAGTACAATTGTGTGAGAAATATTGGCATCATTCAGTAGAATTGTGTGAGAAATATTGACATCATTCAATACAATTGTGTGAGAAATATTGACATCATTCAGTACAATTTTGTGAGAAATATTGGCATCATTCAGTAGAATTGTGTGAGAAATATTGACATCATTCAATACAATTGTGTGAGAAATATTGACATCATTCAGTACAATTTTGTGAGAAATATTGGTATCATTCAGTAGAATTGTGTGAGAAATATTGGCATCATTCAGTAGAATTGTGTGAGAAATATTGGCATCATTCAGTACAATTGTGTGAGAAATATTGGCATCATTCAGTAGAATTGTGTGAGAAATATAGGCATCATTCAGTAGAATTGTGTGAGAAATATTGGCATCATTCAGTAGAATTGTGTGAGAAATATTGGCATCATTCAGTCCAATTGTGTGAGAAATATCATTCAGTCCAATTGTGTGAGAAATATTGGCATCATTCAGTAGAATTGTGTGAGAAATATTGGCATCATTCAGTAGAATTGTGTGAGAAATATTGGCATCATTCAGTAGAATTGTGTGAGAAATATTGGCATCATTCAGTACAATTGTGTGATCAGTACAATTGTGTGAGAAATATTGGCATCATTCAGTAGAATTGTGTGAGAAATATTGGCATCATTCAGTAGAATTGTGTGAGAAATATTGGCATCATTCAGTACAATTGTGTGAGAAATATTGGCATCATTCAGTACAATTATGTGAGAAATATTGGCATCATTCAGTAGAATTGTGTGATCAGTACAATTGTGTGAGAAATATTGGCATCATTCAGTAGAATTGTGTGAGAAATATTGGCATCATTCAGTAGAATTGTGTGATCAGTACAATTGTGTGAGAAATATTGGCATCATTCAGTAGAATTGTGTGAGAAATATTGGCATCATTCAGTAGAATTGTGTGAGAAATATTGGCATCATTCAGTAGAATTGTGTGAGAAATATTGGCATCATTCAGTACAATTGTGTGAGAAATATTGGCATCATTCAGTAGAATTGTGTGAGAAATATTGACATCATTCAATACAATTGTGTGAGAAATATTGACATCATTCAGTACAATTGTGTGAGAAATATTGACATCATTCAGTACAATTTTGTGAGAAATATTGGCATCATTCAGTAGAATTGTGTGAGAAATATTGGCATCATTCAGTACAATTGTGTGATCAGTACAATTGTGTGAGAAATATTGGTATCATTCAGTAGAATTGTGTGAGAAATATAGGCATCATTCAGTACAATTGTGTGAGAAATATTGGCATCTTTCAGTACAATTGTGTGATCAGTACAATTGTGTGAGAAATATTGGCATCATTCAGTAGAATTGTGTGAGAAATATTGGCATCATTCAGTAGAATTGTGTGAGAAATATTGACATCATTCAATACAATTGTGTGAGAAATATTGACATCATTCAGTACAATTTTGTGAGAAATATTGGCATCATTCAGTAGAATTGTGTGAGAAATATTGGCATCATTCAGTACAATTGTGTGAGAAATATTGGCATCATTCAGTAGAATTGTGTGAGAAATATTGACATCATTCAATACAATTGTGTGAGAAATATTGACATCATTCAGTACAATTTTGTGAGAAATATTGGCATCATTCAGTAGAATTGTGTGAGAAATATTGACATCATTCAATACAATTGTGTGAGAAATATTGACATCATTCAGTACAATTTTGTGAGAAATATTGGTATCATTCAGTAGAATTGTGTGAGAAATATTGGCATCATTCAGTAGAATTGTGTGAGAAATATTGGCATCATTCAGTACAATTGTGTGAGAAATATTGGCATCATTCAGTAGAATTGTGTGAGAAATATAGGCATCATTCAGTAGAATTGTGTGAGAAATATTGGCATCATTCAGTAGAATTGTGTGAGAAATATTGGCATCATTCAGTCCAATTGTGTGAGAAATATCATTCAGTCCAATTGTGTGAGAAATATTGGCATCATTCAGTAGAATTGTGTGAGAAATATTGGCATCATTCAGTAGAATTGTGTGAGAAATATTGGCATCATTCAGTAGAATTGTGTGAGAAATATTGGCATCATTCAGTACAATTGTGTGATCAGTACAATTGTGTGAGAAATATTGGCATCATTCAGTAGAATTGTGTGAGAAATATTGGCATCATTCAGTAGAATTGTGTGAGAAATATTGGCATCATTCAGTAGAATTGTGTGAGAAATATTGGCATCATTCAGTACAATTATGTGAGAAATATTGGCATCATTCAGTAGAATTGTGTGATCAGTACAATTGTGTGAGAAATATTGGCATCATTCAGTAGAATTGTGTGAGAAATATTGGCATCATTCAGTAGAATTGTGTGATCAGTACAATTGTGTGAGAAATATTGGCATCATTCAGTAGAATTGTGTGAGAAATATTGGCATCATTCAGTAGAATTGTGTGATCAGTACAATAGTGTGTGAAATATTTTTTATCAGTCTAATTACACTTGTTTGTTTTCTATCTCACCAGGCTGAAGAACAGAAAAAGGAAAAAATAAATCGTAAGGATTATTGGCTTTGTCCTGGTATTGTTGTTAAAGTGGTCCATAAAAAGTTGGGAGAGAAATATTACAAGAAAAAAGCTGTTGTTAAAGTAAGTCTCCTGCACCCTGGAGTATTGCAGTATTAGAACATAAAAACGTTATACATGAGCACATTTTTGTCTTTAAAAATACTTTTAGTTTAATGTTGTACATAAAATGTTCTCATATAGTTATCTGTCTGAATGCTTTAGGAAGTAAAAGATCTCTATACGGGTATCATAAAAATGTTGGACAGTGGAGACAAGCTGAAAGTGGACCAAACTCATGTTGAAACAGTCATACCAGGCCTAGGTAACTATTGACACAATCTTTTTTGGCTACTGACACACTCTTTTGTGGCTACTGACACACTCTTTTGTGGCTACTGACACAATATTTTGTGGCTACTGACACAATCTTTTGTGGCTACTGACACACTCTTTTGTGGCTACTGACACAATCTTATGTAACCATTGTAGACACCTTCTAACTATCACACTTGTGTAAACACATCCTTGTGTAAATCTGTTTTTACCACTATAAAATAAAGTTTGATTATTATACCAGTAACTTACTGATTTAGGTATGAACTGATGTTTATTTGGTAACTGTTGATGTTTATCCCCTATAAAAATCTTGCTACCCTTTGTACCCAGGTAAGCCTGTGATGGTGGTCAATGGGGCCTACAGGGGAGAGGAGGCAACTCTTGATGCTATTGATGAAAAACATTTTTGTTGCTCTATTATCATTAAACATGTAAGTCAGCTGTGTATTTGAACATTTTTTTGTCTACAGTGTTCATCATATTCTAGTCTTACTATCTGTTGTACTATGTGACTATCAGATTTCTATCTGTTGTACTATGTGACTATCAGATTTCTATCTGTTGTACTATATGACTGTCAGATTTCTATCTGTTGTACTATATGACTGTCAGATTTCTATCTGTTGTACTATGTGACTATCAGATTTCTATCTGTTGTACTATATGACTATCAGATTTCTATCTGTTGTACTATATGACTGTCAGATTTCTATCTGTTGTACTATATGACTGTCAGATTTCTATCTGTTGTACTATATGACTATCAGATTTCTATCTGTTGTACTATGTGACTATCAGATTTCTATCTGTTGTACTATGTGACTATCAGATTTCTATCTGTTGTACTATGTGAATATCAGATTTCTATCTGTTGTACTATATGACTGTCAGATTTCTATCTGTTGTACTATATGACTGTCAGATTTCTATCTGTTGTACTATGTGACTATCAGATTTCTATCTGTTGTACTATATGACTATCAGATTTCTATCTGTTGTACTATATGACTGTCAGATTTCTATCTGTTGTACTATATGACTGTCAGATTTCTATCTGTTGTACTATATGACTATCAGATTTCTATCTGTTGTACTATGTGACTATCAGATTTCTATCTGTTGTACTATGTGACTATCAGATTTCTATCTGTTGTACTATGTGACTATCAGATTTCTATCTGTTGTACTATATGACTGTCAGATTTCTATCTGTTGTACTATATGACTGTCAGATTTCTATCTGTTGTACTATATACTATATGACTATCAAATTTCTATCTGTTGTACTATGTGACTATCATATTTCTATCTGTTGTACTATATGACTATCAGATTTCTATCTGTTGTACTATATGGCTGTCAGATTTCTATCTGTTGTACTATGTGACTATCAGATTTCTATCTGTTGTACTATGTGACTGTCAGATTTCTATCTGTTGTACTATGTGACTGTCAGATTTCTATCTGTTGTACTATATGACTATCAGATTTCTATCTGTTGTACTATGTGACTATCAGATTTCTATCTGTTGTACTATATGACTGTCAGATTTCTATCTGTTGTACTATATGACTGTCAGATTTCTATCTGTTGTACTATATAACTATCAGATTTCTATCTGTTGTACTATGTGACTATCAGATTTCTATCTGTTGTACTATATAATTATCATATTTCTATCTGTTGTACTATATGACTGTCAGATTTCTATCTGTTGTACTATATGACTGTCAGATTTCTATCTGTTGTACTATATAACTATCAGATTTCTATCTGTTGTACTATATAATAATCAGATTTCGATCTGTTGTACTATCAGATTTCTATCTGTTGTACTATATGAATGTAAGATTTCTATCTGTTGTACTATGTGACTATCAGATTTCTATCTGTTGTACTATATGACTGTCAGATTTCTATCTGTTGTACTATATAATTATCAGATTTCTATCTGTTGTACTATATGACTTTCAGATTTCTATCTGTTGTACTATATGACTGTCAGATTTCTATCTGTTGTACATAACTGAATGTCTGTTCACAGGGTCTGCTTACTGGAAGGGTTGTAAATGGCGTTCAGTATGAAGATATTTGTAAACTACACCTTGATTCTTGACATTGTCTGGCTAAGTTGTACATAGAATTTATCATTAAATGTATCTTCATTGATGAAAACGTGTAATTGAATTTTTTTTTTCCACATTCATAAGAGATATATATTTTTGTCTAGAACTGAAATGAAAAAGGTTTCAAGTTTTATGCAATTAAAAAAAAATTGCCTGATGTATTTTGCTAAAGGTTTTAGTAAACTTTTATAGAATTGCTAAAGGTTTTAGTAAACTTTTATAGAATGCTACAGTAGGTATTTTGTTGGGATCCCAGAACACTGACAGGGTGGTGACATTTCTCCTGTACACTGCCACAGCATGAGAGCCAGCACCAGAAGTGTACAAAATGTGAATTGTGTGTGGTTTGATGTGTGTGGTTTGATGTGTGTGGTTTGATGTGTGTGGTTTGATGTGTGTGGTTTGATGTGTGTGGTTTGATGTGTGTGGTTTGATGTGTGTGGTTTGATGTGTGTGGTTTGATGTGTGTGGTTTGATGTGTGTGGTTTGATGTGTGTGGTTTGATGACCTTGTACAAATGTTTGATGTTACACACAAATGACACCAGAAATTTTTTCAGTAAAAATTGTTGTTAGAAGTGTGGTTTACTTTGTAACTCTCTTATGGTTACAATATGACCCCCACCCCCACACACACACATTGGTATGACCCCACCCCAGTTCACTCCACACAATTGTTGACACGTTGGTATGACCCCACCCCAGTTCACCCCACTCAATTGTTGACACGTTGGTATGACCCCACCCCATTTCACCCCACACAATTGTTGACACGTTGGTATGACCCCACCCCAGTTCACCCCACTCAATTGTTGACACGTTGGTATGACCCCACCCCATTTCACCCCACACAATTGTTGACACGTTGGTATGACCCCACCCCAGTTCACCCCACACAATTGTTGACACGTTGGTATGACCCCACCCCACACGTTGGTATGACCCCACCCCACACATTGGTATGACCCCACCCCAGTTCACTCCACTCAATTGTTGACACGTTGGTATGACCCCACCCCATTTCACCCCACACAATTGTTGACACGTTGGTATGACCCCACCCCACACGTTGGTATGACCCCACCCCACACATTGGTATGACCCCACCCCAGTTCACTCCACACAATTGTTGACACGTTGGTATGACCCCACCCCACACGTTGGTATGACCCCACCCCACACGTTGGTATGACCCCACCCCAGTTCACTCCACACAATTGTTGACACGTTGGTATGACCCCACCCCACACGTTGGTATGACCCCACCCCACACGTTGGTATGACCCCACCCCAGTTCACTCCACACAATTGTTGACACGTTGGTATGACCCCACCCCACACGTTGGTATGACCCCACCCCACACGTTGGTATGACCCCACCCCACACATTGGTATGACCCCACCCCAGTTCACTCCACACAATTGTTGACACATTGGTATGACCCCACCCCAGTTCACTCCACACAATTGTTGACACATTGGTATGACCCCACCCCCGTTCACCCCACTCAATTGTTGACACGTTGGTATGACCCCACCCCACACGTTGGTATGACCCCACCCCACACGTTGGTATGACCCCACCCCAGTTCACCCCACACAATTGTTGACACATTGGTATGACCCCACCCCCGTTCACCCCACTCAATTGTTGACACGTTGGTATGACCCCACCCCACACGTTGGTATGACCCCACCCCACACGTTGGTATGACCCCACCCCAGTTCACCCCACACAATTGTTGACACATTGGTATGACCCCACCCCAGTTCACCCCACACAATTGTTGACACATTGGTATGACCCCCACCCCAGTTCACCCCACACAATTGTTGACACATTGGTATGACCCCACCCCAGTTCACCCCACACAATTGTTGACACATTGGTATGACCCCACCCCAGTTCACCCCACTCAATTGTTGACACGTTGGTATGACCCCACCCCACACACGTTGGTATGACCCCACCCCAGTTCACTCCACTCAATTGTTGACACCTTATAGAGCAAAATGGGTGATAGCTTGAAAATTTGTTTATTTTTGTTGCAGTTAAAAACAAAGTAACAACTTCTATAAATAGATGTGATATAAAGTAGGAGCTTAAAAATACAGTGAGTTGGTCAAATGATATATAATTGTTATCAAAGTAGACATACAAACACAGACCATCAGATATATCTTTGGCTGACCAAGAGACATTTGACTGTCTGCCAATAACAGTTGAAAAAGTTTAAAACATTTATTGACAGCAGATGTTTCTAAAAATAAACATCCTAGCCAGGTAAATTTACTTTTATCTGTAAACAATCTCAGCTAAGTCAAGAGATGATCCCCTCAATCATTGCCTTAAAACACAAGGACCATGCTCATTGTTAAACACAGTACAGATAAAAGTTATTTAAAAAATGACTAACTTTTGTTAAAATGACAGTGGTTAATAAGGGAAAAAAAATTGCGTTGGCATATTGTTGAGTGATTTGGATCTGAGCTAAAGACCACAAGCTTCTCATCCTTAAGGTTTGTTATCTTAGCTTATTAAAAATAACTTACTGTGTTTTGGAGGTAAGCTCTTCATAAATGAAGATGAACATCCAGTATGAACAAGTTTTACCATGGCGCAGAAGGCTTTGTGACAAACATACTAGCTACCCACCACTTCAAGGGTCTGCTACAATATGGTCTAGATTTGATAACTCATTGTTTTCAATGGGTTTGGACGGCATTGTTTTCATAGAAGTAGATTTAAAAAATATAGAATTATTTTTGTTGTAAATCTACAACATTGGGCACAGATCTATAGAAAGTTATAAACACAGTCCAGTGTTTACATCAATGATCTAAAATAAGCTTTGGTAATGTAAATTTTAATTAGTAACACAATCCTTCCCTCTCTTCTGATATGATTGAATGTTTTCATGAAAGATGTATCAAAGTTGGGTTGGGCTGGTTACTGAGATGTGACCAGAGGAAATGTTAAGTAGGTAAGAATTGGAGTGTGTTGTAAGAAAAAACTCTTGAAAAGTTGGCATATAACAACAGTTACGGTGGCACGTAACAACAGTTACAGTGGCACGTAACAACAGTTACAGTGGCACCTAACAACAGTTACAGTGGCATGTAACAACAGCTACAGTGGCACGTAACAACAGCTACAGTGGCACGTAACAACAGCTACAGTGGCACGTAACAACAGCTACAGTGGCACGTAACAACAGCTACAGTGGCACGTAACAACAGCTACAGTGGCACGTAACAACAGCTACAGTGGCACGTAACAACAGTTACAGTGGCACCTAACAACAGTTACAGTGGCACGTAACAACAGTTACAGTGGCACGTAACAATGGAGTAGAGAAAGCTTTTAGTGGGACATAATTACATCAAATAGATAGAAGAATTCAAAGATGGGCTTTTTACACTTGTGAACATTTTATATTTAAAAAGCTTTGTAAAAAATTGAAGCTAAACATTAGAGTAGTTAAAGTGTGTCATTATTTCAATGAGTGATGCAAACAGGTAAACCACACACATAGAACACATTCTAGTCCATTAAAAACCTATTGTATCCAAATTTGAGCACACACCAATTAAATCAAACAGGTAAACCACACACATAGAACATGTTCTAGTCCATTAAAAACCTATTGTATCCAAATTTGAGCACACACCAATTAAATCAAACAGGTAAACCACACACATAGAACACATTCTAGTCCATTAAAAACCTATTGTATCCAAATTTGAGCACACACCAATTAAATCAAACAGGTAAACCACACACATAGAACACATTCTAGTCCATTAAAAACCTATTGTATCCAAATGTAAGCACACACCAATTAAATCAAACAGGTAAACCACACACATAGAACATGTTCTAGTCCATTAAAAAACCTATTGTATACAAATGTAAGCACACACCAACTAAATCAAACAGGTAAACCACACACATAGAACACATTCTAGTCCATTATAAACCTATCGTATCCAAATGTAAGGACACACCAATTAAATCAAACAGGTAAACCACACACATACAACACTTTCTAGTCCATTAAAAAACCTATTGTATCCAAATGTAAGCACACACCAATCAAACAGCACAGGCTGAATCTGTTGGACAACATCCAGTCCACCATACAATGACAAACATCAACTCACTGATGGCAGAGCACTTGTAAACAAAACTAAGAGTAAATATATCACATAATGCAGCACAGGCTCACAGATGTCAGGTACAAATCTCTGGACCATCAGGTACAAATATCTGGACCATCAGGTACAAATCTCTGGACCATCAGGTACAAATCTCTGGACCATCAGGTACAAATATCTGGACCATCAGGTACAAATCTCTGGACCATCAGGTACAAATCTCTGGACCATCAGGTACAAATATCTGGACCATCAGGTACAAATCTCTGGACCATCAGGTACAAATATCTGGACCATCAGGTACAAATCTCTGGACCACCAGGTACAAATCTCTGGACCACCAGGTACAAATCTCTGGACCATCAGGTACAAATCTCTGGACCATCAGGTACAAATCTCTGGACCATCAGGTACAAATCTCTGGACCATCAGGTACAAATCTCTGGACCACCAGATTTATGACAGCAGGTATATCATTTGTACAAATATTTAAAAAAAAAACCATACCTAAACCAAATTCTTAAAGATGGTTTTCTTCTTGGTAACAATTTCAACATATTGGAAAAAAAACACTTTATCGTGGAATGATTATTGTAAGATAATTTTGCACACAACTGACATAAAATCATGACAATTATCAGAAATTTTGTATGATGTTTTGTAATTTGATTATTTTTTTAGGAAAATGTATGTAATGCCCCAACCAAAATATTTAAAATTATGTCAGCCAAGTTTAAATAACCAATAATTTAATTGTTGAAACAAAAAGCTAAACTACAAAATAGGAGCCCATCTTTCTTTCAGGTAATGACAGCTGGAGATGACATTAACTGTATAAACTTGAGTAGCTTCCCTTGATTATTTTGTTTTAATCAAGTGGATCATGTCTTTCTTTCACTCAAGTTGAAATTGGTAAAATTCTATTCAGGTCAGGTCAAGAGACTTAATCACTGGGGAAAACAAGTGTAGGTCAGGTTATGGCAGAGAATGTATCAGCATCTAAAAATAGCACAATCTGTCAATGGAAGCTGAACTAATCTATTGGACAATGTTTCAGATGTCATTAACAATGCTAGGTGGGAGGTATTATTTCTTAAAGAAAAATATTACCAGTAAATTTTAACAAACAGACCAGTAAACAGGGTTTCCACAATTTTTTGACCAGAAAATTCCCTGCTATTCGAAGAAATTCCCAGCTATTTTTTCATATAAATTTCAACGTGCAACATTGAACATAAACTTGCCAAATTAAATTTAATTAAACCATAAAAAGTCAGACATTATTTTAGGGGTGCTACTCAATTTTTAAAGTGAATCTTATCCTAAAATTCAATCCCAAAACTTAAAATTTTAAACCCTGAAACTTGGTGTTATCAGAAAATTTTTAAAATAAAATTTAAAGAAATTTTTAATAACAAAATTTGACAATACAAACTTTTCAAGACATTTGATTCACATGTTATATTATACATTCTTTTAGTGATTTTAACTTTATAACAATCTTTTAACAAAAATTAATATTTAAAGGATTGTGCATATAACAAAAAATTGTTCAAAATAAACTCATCTTGATCCCATGAAGTAATATTATAATTCTAGAACCTCCCCCCCCCCCCCTCCCCCAACATAAAATAATTAATATTAACATGGCGCACTGTTTTCAATTTAATGTAAAATTATGTTATATGTTTCTTAGAGGTACCTGTATTTTTAAACTTAAACAGCCTAATTGTAATTTTAACATTTTAGTTTTATAGACAATGAGATCAACTGGCCTATTTTTTATTTCAAATAAATTGTATATAAAAAAAACTTGAAAAAAAAAACAGCATCTGAGCCAAGCAGACCTATAATCATGACGATAGTCAACACATCAATATGTTTGCTTTCCAAATAGTCTTTGAGCGCTATTAAAAATTGACAGTCGGCATCCCCCCTCCACCAACTTAACACTGTGGAGGTCACCGTGAAACCTATAGCAGATGTCATAACATGAATATCTGCTATTTTAGGGAGCTGATGACGTCTCTTTCTCCCCCCCCCCCCCCCAAAAAACTTTCATAACATGAATATCTGCTATTTTAGGGAGCTGATGACGTCTCTTTCTCCCCCCCCCCCCCCCAAAAAAAAAACCAACCAGTTTAATGTTAACAAACTTACGGGTAAATGTTAACACTTGAAAGGTTTACGGCCTAGCGTGGAGAGTGAGGCGGTGGAGGCAATACTTGAAGGTCTGCTGGACTTGGCACTGGACAGCTTGGACAGTCGGCCTAAAAATCAAGTTTTTATAACAGTGTCAGCCCACCATTATCAGTCAACATCAATGCAACAAAGCATCCTTTCAGGTAATAAATATTTGTGGCATCAACCTACCATATCAGTATTAATGGCATAGGCCCAGAATATTCTCAAAGCGGAAAAATAAATATTATACAAATATTTTGCACTGTGTCATTAGAACATCAGTAGAGATCCCCAGTGCATATGCTACTTATAGATTTAGGTCGCTAAACAAAGTTTGAAAACAAAAAAGCTAAAAAATTTGGTCCTGTATTATAATACAACTTGTTTACAGACTATAGAGGAAGTTTTGTAATCATACTAAATAATTAACAGCTATTTTCACAGTTTTCACTGACATAAATTGTTTATAGAATATAAAGGATGAATAAAATTGAATTGTAAGCAGAAAAATCTTAATCGAGATTCTGACAAATTTTGATGTATTACGCTCTTCAAGAGCCAGAAACCTTTGTTGGCCTCTATATGCGTGTCTGTAAACATGATAACTTGAGCACCTTTTCCGTTAGGTTGACCAAATATCATATAAAAGTATTATATAAAAATTTTTTGTTTTCTATCAACTTTTCAGCTATTTTCTTATCCACAAGTGGTACATACTCTACTTCCTGTTCCTCAGAATGCTAATAACTAGAGTACCATTTAAATTAGATGGACAAAATATAGCCTCAAAGCAAGGATATTCTTTCTTCTTCTTCGTTCTTAATTCTAGTGGTTTCTAAACCCTCTAACAAAATTAAGTATATGTGTCAACTTGTTATGTGCCATATAGGCAGTTGACTCAGATTTCAGCCTGTTTATCTTTTTGGATTTGCTTCCATAGCCTTTGTCCAACCAAGAACAAACTACAAGGCAGAAGTTGTTTAATTTTGGAGTTGTCTCTCCTAGAAGAGTTGCTGTACCCAGCAGTCAAGCCTGAGATCAGGATATTCATTTTTGCTATTTGCAAAATCTTAAAATATTTTTTAAAAATTTTAATTGTAAAAAGAAAAAATTAATAATTACTATATAAGGATCAATGCCAAATCAATAAATAGAATGAAGAATATTTTTTTAAGATTTCTCAACTAAAACATTCAAGACAATATGGTATAGTAGCTCCCAGCCCCCCACTTGGTGGAAAAATGAAAGAGAACTGACTAGCACCACTCCTGTCTGAGGCAGTATCATCCAGATGTACACACAGTTTCTCTATCAGCTCCAGACTGAAGGACTCCGTGTTGGCCGGCAGCTTCATCAGGGGCTCTGTCTTGTGTTTGGACCCCTTCTGGCCCTGTGGGGTGTCATCCAGAATTGTCTGCGGCACCGTGCCAGCTATCAAACCCTCAGGAAACAGTTTATAGGCCACTTTCATACCTAAAGCATAAACATAGAACAGTTTATAGGCCACTTTCATACCTGAATCATAAACATAGAACAGTTTATAGGCCACTTTCATACCTAAAGCATAAACATAGAACAGTTTATAGGCCACTTTCATACCTGAATCATAAACATAGAACAGTTTATAGGCCACTTTCATACCTAAATCATAAACATAGAACAGTTTATAGGCCACTTTCATACCTGAATCATAAACATAGAACAGTTTATAGGCCACTTTCATACCTGAATCATAAACATAGAACAGTTTATAGGCCACTTTCATACCTAAAGCATAAACATAGAACAGTTTATAGGCCACTTTCATACCTGAATCATAAACATAGAACAGTTTATAGGCCACTTTCATACCTAAATCATAAACATAGAACAGTTTATAGGCCACTTTCATACCTGAATCATAAACATAGAACAGTTTATAGGCCACTTTCATACCTGAATCATAAACATAGAACAGTTTATAGGCCACTTTCATACCTGAATCATAAACATAGAACAGTTTATAGGCCACTTTCATACCTGAATCATAAACATAGAACAGTTTATAGGCCACTTTCATACCTAAATCATAAACATAGAACAGTTTATAGGCCACTTTCATACCTGAATCATAAACATAGAACAGTTTATAGGCCACTTTCATACCTGAATCATAAACATAGAACAGTTTATAGGCCACTTTCATACCTGAATCATAAACATAGAACAGTTTATAGGCCACTTTCATACCTGAATCATAAACATAGAACAGTTTATAGGCCACTTTCATACCTAAAGCATAAACATAGAACAGTTTATAGGCCACTTTCATACCTGAATCATAAACATAGAACAGTTTATAGGCCACTTTCATACCTGAATCATAAACATAGAACAGTTTATAGGCCACTTTCATACCTAAAGCATAAACATAGAACAGTTTATAGGCAACTTTCATACCTGAATCATAAACATAGAACAGTTTATAGGCCACTTTCATACCTAAATCATAAACATAGAACATTCACACTTTCAGTTGTGCAAGTTTTTAAAAAGCCATCGTAAAAAAAATAGACAAGTTCTAAACGTTGAAGAAGTGACTTCTAGTTTAGCATCTGACCTTCAGATAGCAGATAGCATAAACAATTATTCACCTCCAGACAAACCAGGTCACTCACCTCCAGACAAACCAGGTCACTCACCTCCAGACAACACAAACCAGGTCACTCACCTCCAGACAACACAAACCAGGTCACTCACCTCCAGACAAACCAGGTCACTCACCTCCAGACAAACCAGGTCACTCACCTCCAGACAAACCAGGTCACTCACCTCCAGACAAACCAGGTCACTCACCTCCAGACAAACCAGGTCACTCACCTCCAGACAAACCAGGTCACTCACCTCCAGACAAACCAGGTCACTCACCTCCAGACAAACCAGGTCACTCACCTCCAGACAAACCAGGTCACTCACCTCCAGACAAACCAGGTCACTCACCTCCAGACAAACCAGGTCACTCACCTCCAGACAAACCAGGTCACTCACCTCCAGACAAACCAGGTCACTCACCTCCAGACAAACCAGGTCACTCACCTCCAGACAACACAAACCAGGTCACTCACCTCCAGACAAACCAGGTCACTCACCTCCAGACAAACCAGGTCACTCACCTCCAGACAAACCAGGTCACTCACCTCCAGACAAACCAGGTCACTCACCTCCAGACAAACCAGGTCACTCACCTCCAGACAAACCAGGTCACTCACCTCCAGACAACACAAACCAGGTCACTCACCTCCAGACAAACCAGGTCACTCACCTCCAGACAAACCAGGTCACTCACCTCCAGACAAACCAGGTCACTCACCTCCAGACAAACCAGGTCACTCACCTCCAGACAAACCAGGTCACTCACCTCCAGACAAACCAGGTCACTCACCTCCAGACAAACCAGGTCACTCACCTCCAGACAAACCAGGTCACTCACCTCCAGACAACACAAACCAGGTCACTCACCTCCAGACAAACCAGGTCACTCACCTCCAGACAAACCAGGTCACTCACCTCCAGACAACACAAACCAGGTCACTCACCTCCAGACAAACCAGGTCACTCACCTCCAGACAACACAAACCAGGTCACTCACCTCCAGACAACACAAACCAGGTCACTCACCTCCAGACAAACCAGGTCACTCACCTCCAGACAAACCAGGTCACTCACCTCCAGACAAACCAGGTCACTCACCTCCAGACAAACCAGGTCACTCACCTCCAGACAACACAAACCAGGTCACTCACCTCCAGACAAACCAGGTCACTCACCTCCAGACAAACCAGGTCACTCACCTCCAGACAAACCAGGTCACTCACCTCCAGACAAACCAGGTCACTCACCTCCAGACAAACCAGGTCACTCACCTCCAGACAAACCAGGTCACTCACCTCCAGACAACACAAACCAGGTCACTCACCTCCAGACAAACCAGGTCACTCACCTCCAGACAACATAAATAAATTATCGTAGCCCCGCTGAACTAATGTTGTTGCTGCTCTGTGACTAATTCTTTCATCTTCGTCGTAAATTAAAATTATTTTACCCGGTTGATTTTTCTAAACAAATTTGTAAGGAAAATTGTAATGACAAAATTTATAAACAAAATTAATTTATCTTTTTAAACCCAAATATTTAAAAAAAAATTAAACTCAAATTTTTTTTAACAAAATTACACCCAAAACATTGTTAACAAAATTAACCCCAATAATTTTAAACAAAATTAAGGGGATATGCTATGTTTTTTTTCTATTTTTTACAGTTTAAGATCTAAAGCTTTTTGAATACTTTTATCATATTTGGCATATAAAAGTAAGTATTAAACAGCAAAAAAAAAGGGTCGAAAACAATTTTGGTTATCATGGAAACCCAAAAAACCTCCGCCATTTTGAATTTTTCAGTTCCTTTAAAAATACTAAGGCTTTTTTATTTATGCACCTATAGCAATCAAATTTAAACTGCTTATATTTCAGTATATATTAAAACTTTTGTCACGACAACTTTTTGAAATAATTACTAGTAAGAATTTTACAAGGTCTAAAAAATCGTACCCTTTTTAGTATTCAAATGTGCATATTAATTACCAAATACTTTTTTTCTATAAAAGCAATCACAATTCCCTCGTGACAAAAGTTGTATTTTTGCATCAACAACATTTACTGAAAATATGGTTGGCATTGTTTAATAAATAAAAAAGAAGTAGGCTTTTTAGTGTTAAAAACATGCGAACTGAGAAAAACAGCAAAAAGTAACGAAAACTAGGTCAGGAAAGTACCATATCTGTGTAAACTGCAAAGCCGATTGTAAGCTTTGGGTGTTTCCGAGATGTAGGAAATTAAGTTTATTAGATACACGAGAGATCCAGCTTTCCAATGATGTCAAATACAATATAATAACGGATATAAAACTTTTCGTAGAGAACTTGTAAGATTGGGAAAAATTGATTATTTTTTAATTAATAGGGTCATAAAAATCGGAATTCAAACACATAAAATATTTTTTTCTCTTTAAAGTTATTATTTTCTTTATACAAAAATGGACAAAGTATCTAAAAGTGCAAAAAACCCATCATGATGAAAAACATGAAATTTTGTGCTATTTTTTAACAAAAATTAATGTTAAAAAATTTCTCATTGTTTTTATACTTTAAAGTATAAAAAATTAATGATTAACTATGTTAGGTTAAATTAATTATGTAGAGTTTTAAGTTAACTAGTAAAATAAATATTTTAAAACAAAGATACAAATTCTAACATTTGATCTGGCTCATTGGTTTCTTAATGATAAGGAGTCGTCCATAAATGACGTCACACTTGTAAGGGGGGAGGGGGGTGATGGTGTGTGACGAGGGGAAGTGGGGGGGGGGGGGGGGTGTTCAGCGACGTCACACTTTTTCATTATAAAAAAGCAATGTCAGAAAACGGAATTTTAAACGAATTTTCGGGTTTAGAAAATGGTTTTAATAAATTGCAATAGGAGTTGATTAAAATACTCTATTTCGCAAGAGTTCAGACAAGATTTTGGAAAAATGTCGATGTTTTAAGAAAAATTAAACTGCAATTTTATGGATGACCCCTAACTTGTCCTTTGCTCAAATTTTAAGGGTCTGGTTAATAAATTTATTTTTCAACAAGGATACATAATTTAACATATCTTTTGTTTCATAATTCACAGATCTGGCTAGCATAGCTGTAGGGTAACTTTTGGCTGAAATTTAAAAAAAAAAAGATTTAAATAATAATGTAAATGTAAGAATTTTTTTTTTAAATTTAAATAATTATGTAATAAAATAAAAAATAGATTAAAATAATAATGTAATAAAATAAAATAAAAATTTAAATAATAGGCCTAATGTAATAAAAAGAATTTAAATAATAGTGTAATAAAATTAAAAAAAAGATTTAAATAATAATGTAATAATATTTTTAAAAATTTAAATAATTATGTAATAACATTTTAAAAAATATTTAAATAATAATGTAATAAAATAAATAAAATGTAAATAATGATGTAATAAAATTTTAAAAAAGATTTAAATAATAATGTAATAAAAAAAAGCAGAAAACAAAATTTCTTGACATGACTTTTTAAGCTGCCAATAATGTGACATTCATCAACCACTCACCTGTAATAATGTGACACTCACCTGTAATAATGTGACACTCACCTGTAATAATGTGACACTCACCTGTAATAATGTGACACTCACCTGTAATAATGTGACACTCACCTGTAATAAAATGACACTCACCTGTAATAATGTAACACTCACCTGTAATAATGTGACACTCACCTGTAATAATGTGACACTCACCTGTAATAATGTGACACTCGTCAAACGCATCCTTCTCTCTGACATCAAGCAGCAGGTAAGGGCACTGAGAACCCATCATTGGGAGAGGTTGGTGTGGACGTTTGCTGGCGTCCAGGTCGACCTCACCCATCCCATTGATAACCCTGGTCAATGATGAGAGCATTGGTCAATGATGAGAGCATTGGTCAATGATGAGAGCGTTGGTCAATGATGAGAGCATTGGTCACTGATGAGAGCATTGGTCACTGATGAGAGCATTGGTCAATGATGAGAGCATTGGTCAATGATGAGAGCATTGGTCAATGATGAGAGCATTGGTCAATGATGAGAGCATTGGTCAATGATGAGAGCGTTGGTCAATGATGAGAGCATTGGTCAGTGATGAGAGCGTTGGTCAATGATGAGAGCAAAATGGTACAAGATTTTAGTTGATATACTTTTCTACAGACTTACAGCTGGTTTTAAAAAAAGCCATTAACTGGCCTAGACAAAGCTAGTTTTATAAAAGTGACTTACTGCTCTAGCCTAGATCTGCTTGTGTCTACCTCAGGTGTCTGTCTGCTTGTATCAGATGTCTGTCTGCTTGTATCACCTGATCCATTTTTCTGAATTCTTTCAACTTCATTATCAGCCGTGTCTGGTCTATCAGCTGAAACAAGAGTAGCATCTAGTTGATGGAAGATTTTACTACAGGAAAAAAATTTTAGTTGATGGAAGATTTTACTACAGGAAAAAACTTTTAGTTCATGGAAGATTTTACTACAGGAAAAAATTTTTAGTTGATGGAAGATTTTACTACAGGAAAAAACTTTTAGTTCATGGAAGATTTTACTACAGGAAAAAATTTTTAGTTGATGGAAGATTTTACTACAGGAAAAAACTTTTAGTTCATGGAAGATTTTACTACAGGAAAAAACTTTTAGTTGATGAAAGATTTTACTACAGGAAAAAACTTTTAGTTGATGAAAGATTTTACTACAGGAAAAAACTTTTAGTTGATGGAAGATTTTATTACAGGAAAAAATTTTTAGTTGATGGAAGATTTTACAACAGAAAAAAACAAGTTATATACAAATGAAATATGGACAGCAGGGTGGCCCTTAAAGATTTGACTAGACTTTAGGGAGGCCCTAAAAACTTTGACTAGACTATAGGGGGGCCCTAAAAACTTTGACTAGACTATAAGGAGGATCTAAAAACTTTGATTTGACTATAGGGGGGCCCTAAAAACTTACTTCCACTAGTGCTGTAGGGTGGCCCTTCCTCAAAGTTATCAACATCTGCAACTTGCACTACCTGAGAAATAGAGGCAACACAATAATGAAACTTGCTCTATCCGAGTGAATTGTGATACCACTTTTATAGCAGTGAAGAAATTTTAAAAAAATACAAACAGTATTACAGTTAATTGTATTACAGTGTAAATTGTGAAAAAAATAGTTTACCAGTTGTACAAATGTTGAAATTTTCATTCTTTTGAAGATTTCATCCTTTCTAAAATTGTAATCTAAAAAAAACAAAGAAATAATGAGATGAGGTAGTTTGGTTCAATATTTGATTAAAAAAATAAACCGGGAGTGATCTCCCCTAAACTTTCTCGAATATTCTTATATAACTTGGAATATAGACATGATTTTTAATTACTTAAACTTTTAAAAATAGAATAGAATCTCATAGAAAAAAAGAATTGCGCACCAAGCAAACGCCAAAACAAAATGTGCATAATAGTGCGCAATATTATTAGTACTTTATAAATTTACATGCGTTTTTTGAGAAATCGGAAATAGCGTAAATTAGTACTTCCGGTCAACGGAAATTACTCAAAATTTGATAGAAAGTAGAGAATTAGATCTTTTACTTACATCTGAAATTTCATTTATCTATCTGAAATAGTACTCAAGTTATAGGCTTTTGAAAAATTCAAAGTAGAAAAAGTACCACTTCCGGTTATCGAAAATCGCTCAAAAGTTGATCAGGATATACGATTTTGATAAAATACTTATATATGAAATTTCATCAACCTAGCTGTAACGGTACTCAAGTTATCATGTTTACACACAGACAGACAGACACACACACAGACAGACACACAGACATATGGAAAAGATTGCAAAATTATGTTTTTCCGTATCAGTGAGGTGTAAAACGTCGAGATTTGTAAAAATCTCGATTTTTTTTTTTGCACGATTACAAGACTTTCTCTATACTTCGTATATATGAGAAAGTAAAAACGTAATTGATGCTAGTGTTTAGTGAATTACTGAATATTTGAAGTGAATATTTCATGTGAATCAAGTCTTACTTCTCTTCAACTCTTCCATCTTCTCCATGTATTTTGATATACTGGCACCTAAAGAAAGAAACAATTACAGTATTCAGAACTTTTTTATTAGCATCTAAAGAATTAAACAAAAAAGGTGTATTTACCTGTACCACAATATCAATTTACTTGTATCACAATATGTATTTACCTGTATCACAATATCAATTTACTTGTATCACAATATGTATTTACCTGTACCACAATATCAATTTACTTGTATCACAATATGTATTTACCTGTACCACAATATCAATTTACTTGTATCACAATATGTATTTACCTGTACCACAATATCAATTTACTTGTATCACAATATGTATTTACCTGTACCACAATATCAATTTACTTGTATCACAATATGTACTTACCTGTACCACAATATCAATTTACTTGTATCACAATATGTACTTACCTGTATCAACAGTTGGCCGTACATGCTTATACTTGGGGTTTTCTGGAATTTTTTTATCCAATGGCTGAAAAGAAAAAAAATGGCTGTCAGTTAGTGAAACAGTTTATCCAATGGCTGAAGAGAAGTTCAATATTGGAGTCCTCACCTCAATGTGTCCCCAGTTCAATATTGTGTCCTCACCTCAATGTGTCCCCAGTTCAATATTGGTGTCCTCACCACAGTGTGTCCCCACCTCAATGGGGACTTTTAGAAATCCCCATTTCTAAAATATTGTATTCATTTTTTTTAAGCTCCCACAATTCTGTCAGCTGTCCAGTTAAGATCTTATTTTCTGTGTTTTCTTATCTTATAATGGATATATTTTGTAAAGAAACGGGTTAAATTAGGAAATAATTTAAATGTTTGTGAGACAGGCTACATTAGGCTATACATCTATATATATAATTCTCTTCTGGGAGACGCTAGAAAACAAGCTGTAAAAGCGCTCCCTACCATCCCCACCCCTACATGGTCTTAGTGAGCTGTGGTTCACGCTATGTTTACTTACCTTCGTGGAGTCGGGTTTAGTGACGGCTATTAGGCGCAGATAATTTAGTTTGAAACGATTTTAAACGTTGGGGGGGGGGGGGGGGGGAGGAAGGGGGGTGGTTTGGTCCTTAACGAGCTACTTATAGTGTTTTAAAGAAATATTTTCAGTGTCAGCGTTGGTACTGTCGAATTCACAAATTATGAATTACTGAAAAGTAGAAAAAACAACAACTAAATAGCGGCGTATGTTATGCCGCGGGCCGGCTCGTTATAATATAAAATAGCAACACCCACAAAAGTAGTGGGCATGAGCCCCGTTGCTAACAATAATTTTTTCTGCTTTGTTCAACTGACCATTAAGTTAAAAAATACCTGCCACTTGAAAAGCATTTTTTTTTTGCGGATATTAAGTTAATACATTAAGTCTAGACCATAAGTCCTACTACTATTGACTTAGTATTAGCAGACATTTTACTACATTTACTTTTTAAATTATTTATCATGCTTCCAAATCTGACAAAGCCTAATTAATTTTAATTAGGCTAATTATAATGGTTTCAATGGTCTTCATTGATATATGTATGTATATATATATATATATTAGGCTAATATTTATATTAAGATTTAATAGGCCTGATAAGTTAAATTTGTTTTAACCATGGGCCCAGACTTAAATTACTAATTAATAAATGAAGTACAAGGACTAGGATATGTGTGTGCTGTGCTCGCATTGTGGTGGAGCAAGCAAGCTGTCTGTCACACATTTTTTGCTTTCAGATGACATTTTTTTAAAGAAAAATCAAATAGATACAAATCCTAATAAAATAATTTAAACCCTGCCTGGGGACAGAGCTTTGTGAATATAGCGCCAATCCCAAGCCAGATAAGGGAGGTGGTTTAGATTCAATTTGAAAGGACATCTTAATCTTAAGTGTGCCTTTTGATTATTTTTTATTACCGGTATTACCGCATTGCACAGCCATACCTCCACTTCACCTTCCCCCCTTACACCCCTTTGAGCCTAAAATTCCTGCTCACAAGAACTCTTCGTCTTCAACCTGTTCAACCGTTGTCATGGAGTGGTCTGAGTCACCAAATATTGAAATGCTGTAATTGAGCCCCAACAAATAAGCTAGAATCATCAAATTTAGAGTCTGGTTGGTTATGGAGAGATATATAGCGTTATTGAATTTAAATCTAAAAACGGTCAAATTTAAACTTTAGTGAGAATTGCCCATAAAATTTAAAAAATATTCGGGCTTCGGCATCGCAGTGGGTGAATAGGCCGATTATTTGATACCTGAATCAGGCTTTAAAAGTTTATAATTTAAAGCATAGGCTTGCATATTATTTAGTAAGTTTATCTTGACAATGTGTACAACTAATTAATATATCTTTAACAGTGCAAAGCGGATGCAACATGTATCAATTCACTTACATTGGCACTTTTACGGCCATGGGCAGACATTTTGTTGTGTGTTGTTAGGAATGCCTGCTCGAGAGTTGCTTCCCTTAAATAATGTTTATGTTTTAAGCGGTCCCAAATTAAGTGATCCAAATTAAAATAATTACACAAGATAATTTTCTACTTCAACAAATCACGCACATAAAAATATTAAACCGATGATTTTTTTTAAATTATTAAATTTTATTATTAATTTAAACAAAAAAATTGTAATTCCATTCAATGATAAAAGATTAAGAGCGTTGGTTTATTATTATTTATTAAGTAGGCCTACTTAAAAAAAAATCTATTTTTAAAAAAAATTAGATCTAAAATATATTTAAAAATTGATTTATCGGTGGCAGAGTTCTTTTATATTTTACTTGAATATGTTTGTCATCGACATCTAGAGTAGCTATACATTCAGCACTGGTGTAATTTATGAACTACTAAATCTAAACTATACATCCAGTGTTTGTGTAATGTATGTACTACTAAAACTAAACTATACATCCAGTGTTTGTGTAATATATGTCACAGGCACAAAACAAGTCACAAGGAGAAGTGCCAGCAACATTTTTCGTGCCCTTACCAAGTTTGCACGAATCAAAAACAAACCAGAAGACAAACACTAGACCGAAACTTTCTGGACCATTTATGTCTTTGTTATGGTGGAAGTTGATGGACCTGGTGTGTGTCCTTATGGCCAACACATATTAAATGTATGTCACGTGTCTATGGTGAACGCGTGTTCAAAGTTTCTTCCAGGCATATCTTCGGGGGTGGGGGGGGGGGGGCTCAGCCCCCCCCCCCCCCGAAAATATCAAGTGCCCCCCCCCCCCCCCCCGGAGAAAAAAGTCTGGAAGAAACACTGCGCGAGTTAAAGATACGTCATAAGCTACCAACTTGTTTCTTGGGGTGATTTTTCTCGATCATACAATATGATACATTAGACACAATCTAAACCAAAATGGCGTCTCTCAAACATTTTCATTAATGCTATATAACCTTTACCCAAACTAACTGCACGACCCACACATAGATGGTCACAGATGGGAACGTCTGTGGTAAAGGTTAAGGTCACCCGGATCCCAGGTTGACCTGACGGCATAATATTTAATAATGTCTCCCCTACAGACAGCCAAAGACTAGACCCGCCCAAACACTAGACCCGCCCAAATACTAGACCCGCCCAAACACTAGACCCGCCCAAACACTAGACCCGCCCAAACACTAGACCCGCCCAAACACTAGACCAGAGGCGTAGCGACCCCTCCCCGCGCCCGGGGCGAACATTCAGTTTGGCGCCCCCCATATATATATATGTGTGTGTGTGTGTGTGTGTGTGTGTGTGTGCGTGCGCGACAGTCTTGAAAAAAATTAATGATTACGCTGTATGATTGTCGTTTCCTAAAACCTAAAACTTTACTCGACGTAAATTAAATTAGTAATGTCAGAAAAAAAAGTTTAGCCGTGCTAAATCGTTTAGGACAGACTTTTTTTTTTTATCTTTGAGACAGTCTCTGTTATGATTTAGTATATATTTGGATTATAAGTTTGTTAGATTAAGGTCATACAATTGACATACAATAGCAAATTATTGTTCACATTGGAATACGATATGTGTATTTCGTTGACTAGTTGATTGTATAATGAAACAAGTTAGAGGATACACATTTCTTTTCTAAGTGTTAAAAGAGTTATCTAGTAACCGATCCAGTACAAATCCTGCGATTTTTGTTGGTGAAAAAGCGCCCCCCCCCCTTCCCAACATCTTGGACAAAAATATTAAAGCGGATTTTTAACGTCACTAATTCTTCTTTTTATGTTACACAATCGTAAAATACGATTTAGTTCCATGGGTTCTTTTTTGAGTGATATGGGTTATTTATTCCTTAATTTTTCCAATTTTAGTCTTCGAAAAAGCGCCCCCCCCCCTTAAATAGGAAAGCTGGAAAGCAGTTTTTCCGGTCACTGTTTCTTAAGGATATACCTTTTACAGTTACTTAATCAAGGTAGAAAACAGTTAAATCAGTATGCAAAGGCTCTCAGCCGTTAAATTTCTTTACTTTGACTGTTTATAATTCAAAACTGCAGCTTAAAATGAGCTTGTAAAAAAAAAATTCTACCCCTTTTGGCGCCCCCCTAGGGTCGGCGCCCGGGGCGGCCGCCCTCCCCTAGCTACGCCTCTGCACTAGACCCGCCCAAACACTAGACCCGCCCAAACACTAGACCCGCCCAAACACTAGACCCGCCCAAAACTATTTAAAAATAGCAAGTCACAGAAAGAAAATGGGTTCAACTAAAATGTAGTTTGACCACTATTTGATATCTCCTAACATTGAACAAACAATCTGATGAACACACAGACTGATAACCGGCAAACAATGAAAGTACTTGAAGTGGCGCTAAAGATAGAATCGAATTGTGTACAAAATTATAGGGAGACAATACGACATTATCTCCTCTATTTGTTTGCTGCTATTTTTAGCTTTCTGTCACTGATGACACGTGCTACCACCAACTTTCTGACAGCGCGGAGCCCGCAATTCTCACGGGAAACTGACGATAAGACGATGCTACAGAGAGGGCCAAGTGGTGCAATATTTTATTTTTATTCTGTCAGATAAAAGATCTAGTTTAGACCATGCGGGGGTGGGGGGGGGGGGGGGGATGTAATTATTTTTAGCCTAGTGTCTTGGTAGACCGTTCGACCGCCCACACAAGTCACAAGAACACAAACAATTCGTTTTTGTAGATTTTTACATTTTAATGCAACCATAGCCTACTTGTCAACATTTTTTTTTCATCATGCAGCCATATTTGTCAAAACCTCAATATCCATTATGCAGCTATATTTCTCAAAAACCTCAATATGCAGCTATATTTGTTTTTTGTGACAGGATTGAACGACGCTTCTGGATGTGTGAGTTTGTTAGTATTTGGGTTGGTTTGTGGGTGTGTGGGTCGAATTGTGTGTGAGAGTTGGTTTGTGTGTGTAGTTTTGTGTGTGAGTTGGTTTGTGTATCTGTGGGTTGATGTATGGGGATTGGTTTGTGTGTGTGTGGGGGGGGGGGGGGTGGGGTGATCGGTGGGTGTGTGGGTTGGTCTGTGGGCGGGATGTTCTTGAGTCCACTCAGCCCAAATAAGTACCGTATTTTCAGGCGGAACAGACGACGTTTACAGCCTGGAATCTTCACAACATTCCAGTGTCGTCTCATGCACCGGGTGTGGTCAGTGTAAGGCGAATATCCCACTAGATAAATTTTTAACTTCAAAAGCGGTGGGTGGAGGAGGAGTGGGGGGGGGGGGGGGGGGGGGCAGAGGCGTAGCGATGTGGGGGGGGGGGGCAGAAGGACATATGTTCCCGGGCGCCGACCTTAGGGGGCGCCAAAATTGGTTGTAAAAACAAATTAAAATGTCAATTTAGCTGCATTTTTGCAGTTTGAGGAGAGGGGGTGCAAATCGAAAGTTTGAGGGGGTGGTGCAAATCGAAAAGTTGGGGGGGGGGGGGACGGAAAAGGGGGGCGTTTATACGCTAGAAATGCTTGTTAGATAAAGTCATGCTTGGCAAATATTTCCTATTCCATCAGCCATGTGGTTTGATATGGTCTAATTAAGTAGCCCCCCCCCCCCCCCACCCTAACTTTGTTGCCAACATTTGAAAATGATTTTCTCCGAACATCTACTGTAAAGCCTGAAGGGTTTTCTTAGAGATGTTACACAGTGATTGTTGTCTGTCACACACTGTTGTCTGTCACACAGTGATTGTTGTCTGTCACACACTGTTGTCTGTCACACAGTGATTGTTGTCTGTCACACAGTGATTGTTGTCTGTCACACACTGTTGTCTGTCACACAGTGATTGTTGTCTGTCACACAGTGATTGTTGTCTGTCACACACTGTTGTCTGTCACACAGTGATTGTTGTCTGTCACACACTGTTGTCTGTCACACAGTGATTGTTGTCTGTCACACAGTGATTGTTGTCTGTCACACACTGTTGTCTGTCACACAGTGATTGTTGTCTGTCACACACTGTTGTCTGTCACACACTGTTGTCTGTCACACACTGTTGTCTGTCACACACTGTTGTCTGGCACACACTGACTGTTGTCTGTCACACACTGTTGTCTGTCACACACTGTTGTCTGTCACACACTGTTGTCTGTCACACACTGTTGTCTGTCACACACTGTTGTCTGTCACACACTGTTGTCTGTCACACACTGTTGTGTGTCTAGGTTCTCAAAAGCCAACAATTCTCTTGGAAGTTTATCTTAGAGAAAACAATTGTTTGAACTTTGAACCCCACATCTGGTTGCTACACGGCTGTAACCTATGACCTTCTACAACGACACAAATCTGACACTTACACCCTCCAAAAAGAAAGGAAATGATTGGTTGGTTTTAAAAAAACATTTTATTTATCGTGAGTGAGGACGACATTAAATATATGTGTGCTATTTACACAACACTTTCAACATGTAGGCAACTATTTACACATTTTAAACAGTGTTCATGATAACTGAAGCAAGTAAAATATAACCTAATAATGTTACATGTACATCTATAGCCGAGATTAGTGGTTTACCCCTGTAAACTAGCGCCCATTGAGCCTCCACCCCTGTAAACTAGCGCTCATTGGAAATCCACCCCTGTAAACTAGCGCCCTTGAGCCTCACCCCTGTAAACTAGCGCCCCTTGAGCCTCCACTTCTGTAAACTGGCGCCCCTTGGAAATCCACCCCTGTAAGCTAGCGCCCCTTGAGCCATAATCTCTAGAAAGCTGACAGTGCCGCCATAGCAAACTGAACATATATAGAAAAAATAATTTATTAAAATAGAAAAGTATTTGCATTGTTTAGAATATATATTACATTTAGATGGCTTTTGATTTAAAAAAAAAAACCATCTAATTAAAAAAAAAGACATTATTGATCAAAAGTTTATCATCGCAAAATAAACCAGAGGGTGGTCTTTGTTCCTAGAGAGAGCGTTACTGAATCTTGCTTAAACGTAACTCAATTTTGGCATTGGTAAAAACATAAGCACTTTAATTAGTACTACACATATTTTGATATTCCACAATGTCATGATTATTTAATTAGTACTACACATATTTTGATATTCCCTAATATCATGATTATTTAACTAGCGCTACACATATTTTGATATTCCCTAATATCATGATTATTGAACTAGCGCTACAAAAATATCGAAGAAAACCGGAAGTGAGCTACCTCTGGACTTGACCTTTAACCCACGAGAACGAACAAGGCAACCAGTTTCCTGTTGACGATGCCGAGAGTCCGAGGCTACAAATGTATCAGAGGGGAGAAAAGTAGGAGTTGCTGAAACCATCAAGGTCGGACCACCAAGTTTTCTCAAGGTCAGACCATCAAGTTTTCTCAAGGTCGGACCAGAATGCCAGAGAAGACACACAGTCTCTCAGACAACGCTTTTGGGTTACTTCCGGATGCTAAATTCACAACGACCTTGACCGCGTCCGACTTTTTCAGCCTAGCGACGACGCTGATGGAGCCTTGGTCGCCAAAGTCCCTATCCTGTGTGTACATCTTCGCCAGATTGGCGCCTGCAACGTTCAGGAGGATCTCCCCAACAGCGCCTGGTAGAAAGCAGAAATTGTCGTCAAAACAACAGATTCTATCCCATAATTATTTGCAGGAGCTTTACATTTAAAAGTTCCACAACGTGAGGACATTAACATTTTACAAGTATCACTTTGCTCTTACAAGTTTCTACTTGTAAAATGTTAATGTCCTCACGTGTAGGTCTACTAGGTCAGTAAATATTTAAGCTAACGAGCTTACCGCCATAGCCAATCTCTAGCACCACGTGGAAGACATACAGGCCAGCAGACGGCGCTGTGAAAATGCCAGAACTTTGGTTGTAGCCTTGACCTTCGTTCAACATGACGTCATTGAAGAGAATTGTGTCACCAGTGACGATGTTTTTCTCTTCTCTCAAAGTGGCAGAAAATGCCGCAGTTAAACTCACTGTTGGTTAGACATCAGATAAGCTTCTCAATATGACATCTAAACATATCAACGTGACATCTAAACAATTCAACATCACATCTAAACAATCGAACATGACATCTAAACTTTTGAACATGACATCTATAAAATTGAAAATGACATCTAAACAATTAAACATGACAACCAAAGAATTGAAAATGACATCTAAACAATCACCAAATCATAAATGCCACACCACAGTACGTCTTACAACACCTAGAAACATCAGCTGTAGATTCTACCACCAATTGACCGGTACAACTCACTTTTCTCTTTGACGGCCTCCAGCTGATCTGATTGGTTCCTCACGGAGAGAAGCATCTGCTGATTGGACCGCTCGACGGCCTTGACCCTTTCCAACAGGTTGTCCACACTCTTCTGGAGGTTACTGACCTTGTCGTCCAGACTGGCACCGTTAGTGGCTGGAACCACCGCAGGTTTACATTACAACCAGTCGTAGTCGTGTACATCTATGTGTTTGTTTGTGTTTGTGTGTTTAGATTACAACCAGCCTAGTCGTGTACATTTAGATTACAACCAGCCTAGTCGTGTACATTTAGATTACAACCAGCCTAGTCGTGTACATCTATGTGTTTGTGTGTGTATATATACTGAAGTATAAGAGGTTCTCACATTTTTATAAATGTTCTACATGTCCTACTCACAATTGAGACTGAGATGGACCATGTCCCTGTCCTGTCTAACTGTTGTCCTACATGTCCTACTCACCATTGAGGCTGAGACGGACCATGTCCCGGTCCTGTCTAACTGTTGTCCTACATGTCCTACATGTCCTACATGTCCTACTCACCATTGAGGCTGAGACGGACCATGTCCCGGTCTTGTTTGAGCAGTCCTGTCTCGTCCAGGTAGGACATGACGCAGGTGTAGATGCCCACGTTGTCACTGCTGGGGTACCTGATGGTCAGCGTCAGGTAACTTTCTGCGATGTCAGTGTTGTTGATGGCACCCTGAGCCTATAGATACAAGCATTCAACAATCTCATGGGGTGACACCATGAGCCTACAGACACCATGAGCCTACAGACACCATGACCTACAGACACCATGAACCTACAGACACCATGGCCTACAGACACCATGAGCCTACAGACACCATGGCCTACAGACACAAGCATTGTTAAATGGGCCTAAACACCTAATTTAGGTAACCATCTCAGCGCCATGGGTTCATGATTCATTGATTTCATGCGAATTTTGGAACCAAACTAAAATTCCAGCTAATCAGTCGCTTACTTTTGAAACCGAACCCCCCCCCCTTTTACTACGAATTTACAAAAACCCACCTGGAAATGCCACATTTAACTACACGTGTAAACAAGCCATCTGAAAATGCCACATTTAACACAGTAGTAGAAAACCCCACCTTTAGATCAAGTGAAACAAAAGCCCACCTGGAAAAGCCCCCCGTCGCCGTGGGCGTAGTTCAGCTTGTCCGGAGGTTGGATGTTGACGATGGGCGTCTCGGCGTCCTTGGAGATCTCCATCAGCAGGATCTGTCTGGCCTTGACCCCGGTACCATCGGGGAGACACGTCATCACAATGGCGTCCGTCACACCGTCAAGAAAGTCGCTGGGCACCACATCCAGATGTACCGCCCCGCCTGGTAAAGTAGCGTTCACATGTGCAACAGCAGCCTTTGTTTTTACATGTATATTAACATGCATTTTATTTACTTTAAGCAGAGCTAACATATAAATAATTATAATGCAAGGAATAGATTAAATTTATTATTTCAATCTGCTGGATTCAACTAGAGTTTATTTGAGCTTAATTAAAACTTCTAATTAAAACTTCTAATTAAAACTTCTAATTACCTCCGTAAACAAGTAGAGCAAGGAGCGGAGCCCAAGCATTGGCAACTTTTGTTTGCATCTCCGGGTGGCAACTTTAGAATTTTACTGGCAACTTTTCTATCAAGTCAATGTTCAGTTTTTATCTTTATCAAGTCAATGTTCAGTTTAGGTCTCTTTAAGTCAACGTTCACTTTTGATCTTTACTAAGTCAATGTTCAGTTTTGGTTAAAGAAAAATGCGTGCTTGTAGTAAACAGAAAGGAAATGGAGTAACTCTTGTTGTCGTCTGGTGAGAAAAGTCCTTTAGACAGCGGCTGGTCTACAGAACTCTCACAGACAAGAACTTATATAGGGGGACTCGGCACCCTGACACTGGCGGATAATGTCAGTAGAAAGTAATCATCACACACAAGTACCTGTAGCGTTAAGGTAGTATCGCTACCTTGTAATCAAATGCAGGATCGATACCACCTTTGTGGTACACCCAACAACCCGGCCCGTGGTTTCATGTGACGCAAGTCCCCTCCCCTCAAGTGTCTTCATGTACACTCCACAGATAACTAGCCGCCAAAACAGCGGCGGGGGTGGGGGTGGGGTAGAGCTGCTTCAAGTTTCATGCAACAAAAGATGCTGCCACAATCAATATAAAAAACCCTCAGATAATTTTATAATTTTAATGTTATCGAAAACACCACAATCAATATAAAAATCCCTTAGATAATTTTATAATTTTAATGTTATCGAAAACTTACACCAGAAGAACAACGCTAGTCTTCACTTAATGGAGAGCAAAAGCTAGGGTATCTAAACCATATCTTTAAGTGCAAAGTTTATTTTAAGTCCACGATTAGAGAAGTCTTGTCATGGGTCAATCAGAACGTGTTGATTTTCAAAACCTGGTGTTGCACAAACTACAATGATCAATACTATTGTTTAGCTGTTATTAAAAGATCTATTGTCTTACAGCCGAATCGATTAGCGAAAATAATAATATAAATAAACTAACAGAGCGTTTGTAGAAAGTGAATATAAAAAGACGATAGAGTTATTACATGCTTTAGTATAGTATAATAAAGCCAATGGCCAGTTTCACTAAGTTTATGTTTACCTTTAAAGGCCAGGGCGGCGCCTAGCCGAAAAGGCTATAGATGTATATAAATTTGATTAAATTTTGAAACGAAATGGGAAAAGCAGACTTGGTCTTTAAATTTACATCTTTTTAGCGTCCCTTTTGTCTGTTTAGACCTGTAGACATAAACACTGTTGACACCACTATCCCACGTGACTGGCCTAGTTAAGGCTCCTCCTGAAATCTCCAGTTGGTTGGTTTGTTAATCGTCCATTTGTATTGGCTTATTTAATATCTATTTAGATATGAAATTAGATATTCTTGCGTCGCCGTTGAAATTATCTGGAATATTAAAATAAATGAGTACAGTAGATTAAACATGAGTATGAAATTGGACATAGAGACATCCTGGCCCAATCTAAGAAAAAGCTCAGAGAAAACTTTACCAATTGCGTATTAAAACGTTCTCAAGCAGAGACCATCTCCCATCCGGTGAATCACCAATTTGTCGCCTGCTTATCTTTACCGTCAAAGTAGAGGACTCTTGCTGTGATCTCACTAAGGACTGATGACGTCAAACGCTCTGATAGGACTTTAAAAAAACGGGTTAATTGCGGATCTCAACTGCCACAGAAGATATCGGTGAGAAATCTTTTAAACCTGCGTGACAGGCTGCAGTTAAATCGTCAGCCTGTGTCACTGTGACAGGCTGCAGGTAAAGAGTCACAAATTGTGACAGGCTGCAGGTAAAGAGTCACCCTGTGATGAGCTGTTTCGTCCTCTCTAAACGCAGACGCCCCCCCCCCCCCCATATGGTGTGTAGTGTGAAAGTCAACAAAATAAATAAATAAACAGTAAAAAAAAAACCTGGACAAAAAATACAATAGACTAGTTTTATTTCGCTCTAGATATTTTTTTTTTCTGTTGTTGATTGTGTGCACATTTTTTCCCCCTCGTTTTCTTTAACTTGCTTTCGCGTCTGTTTTTCCATCAAATCTTGCGATCAAAATTTCGGGCACTTCCCAGTTAGCTAGCGCGCTGAAATTTTCAGGGATGCTTTGTTTCCGATGACAATACAATATTAAATTATTATTATTACTAAATTGATCCATGGAAACATTTTATTGATCATTTTAGACTCCTATTGATTTGTACCAAAAAAGGGACATAACCTGGTAATTGTAATTTGATAAAAACAAGGTTCGGTACTTTCCCTCTTTTGGCTTACTGAAAAACAAATGAAAAAAATCATGAAGGAGCGAGCACGCGATTGGCTGAGTAGTGGTCACGCGGTGTTTGTGTACAAACCTATGCAAATCTGACTGATCCGGAAGTAGAATGTTGATGGTCGAATGGTTTGCACGCGAGGGCAAAATGGTGAAAGAAACGGCAACACAGAAGAAACGTCGATTGGAAAAGGCACGCCCGAAGTATCAGGAGAAGCGCAATGCAGGATACAGATTGGAAAATCCTCCTAAACGACCAAAAATTATGGAAGAAGGTGAGTATCAAAAGAAGCTTGAAAAAGGTCGAAACCGAAAATCGTGGGGCGCCGTGATTTTCTTACAGTTTCTAATACTTCGGCGCCCCACGTTTTTCATTTTTTGTCATAATGCGCACGCAGATTCCGATCGCTTATAGCAGAGTGATCGTTTGCATTATTGTGATGTATAGCATTTATTTTCTACTTTTTAGTTCAATCAGAAAACGTGGGTTTTTAAAAAAAAAAATTATGATAATTAATTTTGTCGATAGGGGTATGAGAGATTAATGTTAATAGTTTTTTCCAGGCAATAACTTTTATTATTTAAATAAAGCAAATAATAATGGCATAGCTAGAACATGAAAAATCTACTAAATAAAAATAAATAAAACGAACATTAGAAACTATCAAAGATATCAAGTTCCATTGTTTAACATACTTTTGACAGACTTGCCAGATAAGAAGTTACACTTTTCACAATTTTTGGAGGGCAGAAACTGAGATATAAGTTTGGGCCTATTCACGTGTGGTTTGTAGTCTGACAATCAAATAGGTCAAATTACTAAATTAGGAAACAGATTAATTTAAAAGTCTTCTGTAAATAAATAAATAAATAAATACACACACACACACACACACACACACATATATATATATATATATATATATATATATATATATATATATATATATATATATGTGTGTGTGTGTGTGTGTGGGGGGTTGAGAGAATTATTTTTTGCGGGGGTGGATTGGGGGTGGGGGGCTCTTGTTCCGCTATTGAGTGTAGCATATAAAAATATTAGTGATGAAAGATCTAACAATTGAATTGAAACGAATGTAATAGGCTTGAAATGTCTATATAATCACACTAAATTTAAAAAAAAAATAATTAAAGTTACATATCAAAGTATTAAAGCCGTTTACATGAAAAGCCGTTTAGAATTATTTTATCTATTCAATTATTTTTTAAAAAGCCGCCCTTACATTGAAGTCAACCGGAGTGGCCAGGGAGAGTAAAACAATGTAAGTCAATTTTTTTTCTCCATGATAAAATTCGCAATAGCGGTCAATCGAGGTACATTACCCAGTAGTTTTTTTTTTTTTAATATTAAATAATATTAGTTCCCCTATCACCACAACACACTGACTCTACTAATCCAAATTTAAAATAAAAGTGTTAGCTAAATTACTATTATATTGCTAGTCTAGTTATTATTTTAAAAATATTTCTAGCCTTAGTAAAACCGGAAGTCATTCTCAAATGTTATAAAATAGTCAATTTTGGTTGAAAAATTGTATCGTGGTACAAAAATGTACTTTACAAAAAAGCTGAGCCATGAAATAAAAACTTAAAGGTTGCCAGGTGAACTAGTTGCTGTCACTGTCTAGTCTGGCGGTCACTCCTTCGTTCTTTAGGACTGGCAGACTTTCTTCGTGGGTTGTCTCAAGATTTTTGTTAGGGGTGTCAGCATCAGACAGACTTTCCTCGTGGGTTGTCTCAAGATTTTTGTTAGGGGTGTCAGCATCAGATAGACTTTCTTCGTGGGTTGTCTCAATATTTTTGTTAGGGGTGTCAGCATCAGACAGACTTTCTTCGTGGGTTGTCTCAATATTTTTGTTAGGGGTGTCAGCATCAGACAGACTTTCTTCGTGGGTTGTCTCAATATTTTTGTTAGGGTTGTCAGCATCGTTGTCCTTGATGTCAGCCGAGTCAGCGTCCTCAAGGTTGGAGTCAGCATGACTGGAGCCAGTGTGGTGGATATTGAATGAAGACGTGTCACTAGCGTGAGTCGATTTGTTTCCCTCATGTCCAGTGTTGTCTGTGGTGTTCGGTCTGTCTGGTCTCACGCTTGCCGAGTCGTCCGTACCGCTGCTCTCGTCATCTCGCGGTCTCTCGCGCTCGTCTCGGTCACTCCGTTTGACTTCCGGTGGTTTGTTTATGTTCTTGCTTTCTCTGATGGCCGCTCTACTTCCTCTGGTCGCGCCGTCTCTTCTTTGGGCGGCCTTGCTATTTCGAGAAGGCGTGTAGGCAGTCCATATGGTTTTAGGAGTGTTCTGCCCTTTTTTAGGGATGTTCTGCCCCTTTTTAGGGATGTTCTTCCCATCTTTGGGGACGTTCTGCCCATCTTTGGGGATGTTCTGCCCATCTTTGGAGATGTTCTGCCCATCTTTAGTGGATTGAACTTGCTTACCTCTGACTCCAGCCTTCACTAGACTCACACTGTTGCTGCCGTCTCTCTGAGGCTTCATGTAGGGCGTGCTTGTGGATGTGTGTGTTCTCAGTTCGCTCCGTGTACTGGTCCCGGCTGGGGATGTGTGTGTTCTCAGTTCGCTCCGTGTACTGACCCCGGGGGCGGGACGGTAGCTTTTCGCCCTGTACCTCGGGCTGAGGCTGTGTTTGACGTCGTATCCCCACTGTGGTTGGTCTTCTTGAAGGTTCTCGCGAGACGCAGGGGCGACAACAAAGATGTCTGTGTAAGGGAGAGCAGCCGTCTGATGTTTTTGGACATTTGTCGACTTGCCATTAGAGTCGCTGACCTTGCTGCTAGATACTAAAGGTAAAAAAATGTTTGAAAGAAATTAGAAATAAAAAGCCGGAAAGTTTAGACTACAAAAACAAGCAATAGAAAAAAACCAACCAACCTGGTTCTTTAGTTCTCTCTTCTCTTGTCCTCTTCAATCTGCTGAACGGGAGAAAGGGGCGGACAATTTGTTTTAATCAGAACAAAAATCTTTTATTTAAAAGTTAAATGTAAACACTTATCAGTGTGTGTCTATCATGAACGTACGGTGTGTCTGTCGTTAACGTACGGTGTGTCTGTCGTTAACGTACGGTGTGTCTGTCGTTAACGTACGGTGTGTCTGTCGTTAACGTACAGTGTGTCTGTCGTTAACGTACGGTGTGTCTGTCGTTAACGTACGGTGTGTCTGTCGTTAACGTACGGTGTGTCTGTCGTTAACGTACGGTGTGTCTGTCGTTAACGTACGGTGTGTCTGTCGTTAACGTACAGTGTGTCTGTCGTTAACGTACGGTGTGTCTGTCGTTAACGTACGGTGTGTCTGTCGTTAACGTACGGTGTGTCTGTCGTTAACGTACGGTGTGTCTGTCGTTAACGTACGGTGTGTCTGTCGTTAACGTACGGTGTGTCTGTTTTCTTGTGGTAGCAGAGGCAGACGGCCAGCAGTACGAGGGCCACTAGCAGCACCAGGGCCAACAGGCAGAACATGGCCACCGCCCCGGGGGAGGACACGAAGTCTGTGGCGTCTGCGGCGTCGGCTGCTTGGTACGGCTCTACTACGGTGACGTCAAGGAGGGCGGGGTCGGACAAACCCAGGACAGGCGTCCCGTCTACAGATCTCTGCAGGACCTAGACAGGACACAGGGGTTATGTGGGGGTCTTATGGACATGTGGGGTTATGTGGGGGTCGTGCGGAAATGTGGGGTTATGTGGGGATCATGTGGGGGTCATGTGGACATGTGGAGTTATGTGGGGGTCGTGTGGGGTTATGTGGGGGTCGTGTGGAAATGTGGGGTTATGTGGGGGTCATGTGGAGTTATTTGGGGGTCGTGTGGGGTTATGTGGGGGTCGTGTTGAAATGTGGGGTTATGTGGGGGTCATGTGGAGTTATTTGGGGGTCGTGTGGGGTTATGTGGGGGTCGTGTGGAGTTATGTGGGGGTCGTGTGGGGTTAAGTGGGGTTTTGTGGGGGTCGTGTGGGGTTATGTGGGGGTCGTGTGGAAATGTGGGGTTATGTGGGGGTCTTATGGACATGTGGGGTTATGTGGGGGTCATGTGGGGTTATGTGGGGGTCTTGTGTACATGTGGAGTTGTGTGGCATGAGGACACGATGGTTTAGGAAGATGGGACGGGTTTCTGTGGGGTTGGAGTAGTGATATGGATAAACGGGCATTGACCATTTGGTGATCTACGAAGACTTGTGGTAACTATATAAACCAATGACCTCTAGATGACCTTACCTTCAGTATGTCTCTGTCGGCCATGAAGGTTTTGGGATTGTTGACGTTAACCAAGTCGTCTGCTTGCACATCGTTGACGACATATGTGTAGACTGCAGTGCTGGAAAGATATAGCGAGATCGAATACACCCAGCAATTCTAAACCCCACCCCGCCTCATTATTTCCTCCAAATGTAGACTACTGAAATAGCTATCAATTAGGATAATTATTCGGTGTCTAGTAAGTGAAAAGTTGTATTTATCTCAGACAATAGGAAGCAAAGATTGGACATTTTAAAAGTATGGCTAACAATTGACAGTAGTGGACAGGGTGGATGGACAGCGTAGATAGACAAAGACGTACTGTGTATCTAAAAGTCTCCTACGATAACTGGTGCTGGTATCGATGACATTGGAGAATCCGATTCTTTGAGAGTTGGAGAAAAACATTTGCGCCCTGTCTCGAAATATGGACCTGGAACATGAGAGGAGATTGGCAGTTATTGGGGCGTGGAACATGAGAGGGGATTGGCAGTTATTGGGGCGTGGACCTGGAACATGAGAGGAGATTGGCAGTTATTGGGGCGTGGACCTGGAACATGAGAGGAGATTGGCAGTTATTGGGGCGTGGACCTGGAACATAAGAGGGGATTGGCAGTTATTGGGGCGTGGACCTGGAACATAAGAGGGGATTGGCAGTTATTGGGGCGTGGACCTGGAACATAAGAGGAGATTGGCAGTTATTGGGGCGTGGACCTGGAACATAAGAGGGGATTGGCAGTTATTGGGGCGTGGACCTGGAACATAAGAGGAGATTGGCAGTTATTGGGGCGTGGACCTGGAACATAAGAGGAGATTGGCAGTTATTGGGGCGTGGACCTGGAACATAAGAGGGGATTGGCAGTTATTGGGGCGTGGACCTGGAACATAAGAGGGGATTGGCAGTTATTGGGGCGTGGACCTGGAACATAAGAGGGGATTGGCAGTTATTGGGGCGTGGACCTGGAACATAAGAGGAGATTGGCAGTTATTGGGGCGTGGACCTGGAACATAAGAGGGGATTGGCAGTTATTGGGGCGTGGACCTGGAACATAAGAGGAGATTGGCAGTTATTGGGGCGTGGACCTGGAACATAAGAGGGGATTGGCAGTTATTGGGGCGTGGACCTGGAACATAAGAGGGGATTGGCAGTTATTGGGGCGTGGACCTGGAACATAAGAGGAGATTGGCAGTTATTGGGGCGTGGACCTGGAACATAAGAGGGGATTGGCAGTTATTGGGGCGTGGACCTGGAACATAAGAGGAGATTGGCAGTTATTGGGGCGTGGACCTGGAACATAAGAGGAGATTGGCAGTTATTGGGGCGTGGACCTGGAACATAAGAGGGGATTGGCAGTTATTGGGGCGTGGACCTGGAACATAAGAGGGGATTGGCAGTTATTGGGGCGTGGACCTGGAACATAAGAGGGGATTGGCAGTTATTGGGGCGTGGACCTGGAACATAAGAGGAGATTGGCAGTTATTGGGGCGTGGAACATGAGAGGAGATTGGCAGTTATTGGGGCGTGGACCTGGAACATGAGAGGGGATTGGCAGTTATTGGGGCGTGGACCTGGAACATGAGAGAAGATTGGCAGTTATTGGGGCGTGGACCTGGAACATAAGAGGGGATTGGCAGTTATTGGGGCGTGGACCTGGAACATAAGAGGGGATTGGCAGTTATTGGGGCGTGGACCTGGAACATGAGAGGGGATTGGCAGTTATTGGGGCGTGGACCTGGAACATGAGAGGGGATTGGCAGTTATTGGGGCGTGGACCTGGAACATAAGAGGAGATTGGCAGTTATTGGGGCGTGGACCTGGAACATGAGAGGGGATTGGCAGTTATTGGGGCGTGGACCTGGAACATAAGAGGAGATTGGCAGTTATTGGGGCGTGGACCTGGAACATGAGAGGGGATTGGCAGTTATTGGGGCGTGGACCTGGAACATGAGAGGGGATTGGCAGTTATTGGGGCGTGGACCTGGAACATGAGAGGAGATTGGCAGTTATTGGGGCGTGGACCTAGAACATGAGAGGAGATTGGCAGTTATTGGGGCGTGGAACATGAGAGGGGATTGGCAGTTATTGGGGCGTGTAACATGAGAGGAGATTGGCAGTTATTGGGGCTAGGACCTGGAACATAAGAGGGGATTGGCAGTTATTGGGGCGTGGACCTGGAACATGAGAGGAGATTGGCAGTTATTGGGGCGTGGACCTGGAACATGAGAGAAGATTGGCAGTTATTGGGGCGTGGACCTGGAACATGAGAGGGGATTGGCAGTTATTGGGGCGTGGAACATGAGAGGGGATTGGCAGTTATTGGGGCGTGGACCTGGAACATGAGAGGGGATTGGCAGTTATTGGGGCGTGGAACATGAGAGGGGATTGGCAGTTATTGGGGCGTGGACCTGGAACATGAGAGAAGATTGGCAGTTATTGGGGCGTGGACCTGGAACATGAGAGGAGATTGGCAGTTATTGGGACGTGGACCATGAGAGGAGATTGGCAGTTATTGGGGCGTGGAACATGAGAGGGGATTGGCAGTTATTGGGGCGTGGACCTGGAACATGAGAGGGGATTGGCAGTTATTGGGGCGTGGACCTGGAACATGAGAGAAGATTGGCAGTTATTGGGGCGTGGAACATGAGAGGGGATTGGCAGTTATTGGGGCGTGGACCTGGAACATGAGAGGAGATTGGCAGTTATTGGGGCGTGGACCTGGAACATGAGAGAAGATTGGCAGTTATTGGGGCGTGGACCTGGAACATGAGAGGGGATTGGCAGTTATTGGGGCGTGGAACATGAGAGGGGATTGGCAGTTATTGGGGCGTGGACCTGGAACATGAGAGGGGATTGGCAGTTATTGGGGCGTGGAACATGAGAGGGGATTGGCAGTTATTGGGGCGTGGACCTGGAACATGAGAGGAGATTGGCAGTTATTGGGGCGTGGACCTGGAACATGAGAGGAGATTGGCAGTTATTGGGGCGTGGACCTGGAACATGAGAGGGGATTGGCAGTTATTGGGGCGTGGACCTGGAACATGAGAGGGGATTGGCAGTTATTGGGGCGTGGACCTGGAACATGAGAGGGGATTGGCAGTTATTGGGGCGTGGACCTGGAACATGAGAGGGGATTGGCAGTTATTGGGGCGTGGACCTGGAACATGAGAGGGGATTGGCAGTTATTGGAGCGTGGACCTGGAACATGAGAGGGGATTGGCAGTTATTGGGGCGTGGACCTGGAACATGAGAGGGGATTGGCAGTTATTGGGGCGTGGAACATAAGAGGAGATTGGCAGTTATTGGGGCGTGGACCTGGAACATGAGAGGAGATTGGCAGTTATTGGGGCGTGGACCATGAGAGGGGATTGGCAGTTATTGGGGCCTGGAACATGAGAGGGGATTGGCAGTTATTGGGGCGTGGACCTGGAACATGAGAGAAGATTGGCAGTTATTGGAGCGTGGAACATGAGAGGGGATTGGCAGTTATTGGGGCGTGGACCTGGAACATGAGAGAAGATTGGCAGTTATTGGGGCGTGGACCTGGAACATGAGAGGGGATTGGCAGTTATTGGGGCGTGGAACATAAGAGGAGATTGGCAGTTATTGGGGCGTGGACCTGGAACATGAGAGGAGATTGGCAGTTATTGGGGCGTGGACCATGAGAGGGGATTGGCAGTTATTGGGGCGTGGAACATGAGAGGGGATTGGCAGTTATTGGGGCGTGGACCTGGAACATGAGAGAAGATTGGCAGTTATTGGGGCGTGGACCTGGAACATGAGAGGAGATTGGCAGTTATTGGGGCGTGGACCTGGAACATGAGAGAAGATTGGCAGTTATTGGGGCGTGGACCTGGAACAGAGAGGGGATTGGCAGTTATTGGGGCGTGGAACATAAGAGGGGATTGGCAGTTATTGGGGCGTGGAACATAAGAGGGGATTGGCAGTTATTGGGGCGTGGAACATGAGAGGAGATTGGCAGTTATTGGGGCGTGGAACATGAGAGGGGATTGGCAGTTATTGGGGCGTGGACCTGGAACATGAGAGAAGATTGGCAGTTATTGGGGCGTGGACCTGGAACATGAGAGGGGATTGGCAGTTATTGGGGCGTGGAACATAAGAGGGGATTGGCAGTTATTGGGGCGTGGACCTGGAACATGAGAGGAGATTGGCAGTTATTGGGGCGTGGAACATGAGAGGGGATTGGCAGTTATTGGGGCGTGGAACATAAGAGGAGATTGGCAGTTATTGGGGCGTGGACCTGGAACATGAGAGGAGATTGGCAGTTATTGGGGCGTGGACCATGAGAGGGGATTGGCAGTTATTGGGGCGTGGACCTGGAACATGAGAGAAGATTGGCAGTTATTGGGGCGTGGACCTGGAACATGAGAGAAGATTGGCAGTTATCGGGGCGTGGACCTGGAACATGAGAGAAGATTGGCAGTTATTGGGGCGTGGACCTGGAACATGAGAGAAGATTGGCAGTTATTGGGGCGTGGACCTGGAACATGAGAGGAGATTGGCAGTTATTGGGGCGTGGACCTGGAACATGAGAGGAGATTGGCAGTTATTGGGGCGTGGACCTGGAACATGAGAGGGGATTGGCAGTTATTGGGGCGTGGAACATGAGAGGGGATTGGCAGTTATTGGGGCGTGGACCTGGAACATGAGAGGAGATTGGCAGTTATTGGGGCGTGGAACATGAGAGGGGATTGGCAGTTATTGGGGCGTGGAACATGAGAGGGTATTGGCAGTTATTGGGGCGTGGACCTGGAACATGAGAGGGGATTGGCAGTTATTGGGGCGTGGAACATGAGAGGGGATTGGCAGTTATTGGGGCGTGGACCTGGAACATGAGAGGAGATTGGCAGTTATTGGGGCGTGGACCTGGAACATGAGAGGAGATTGGCAGTTATTGGGGCGTGGACCTGGAACATGAGAGGGGATTGGCAGTTATTGGGGCCTGGAACATGAGAGGGGATTGGCAGTTATTGGGGCGTGGACCTGGAACATGAGAGAAGATTGGCAGTTATTGGAGCGTGGACCTGGAACATGAGAGGGGATTGGCAGTTATTGGGGCGTGGACCTGGAACATGAGAGGGGATTGGCAGTTATTGGGGCGTGGAACATAAGAGGAGATTGGCAGTTATTGGGGCGTGGACCTGGAACATGAGAGGAGATTGGCAGTTATTGGGGCGTGGACCATGAGAGGGGATTGGCAGTTATTGGGGCCTGGAACATGAGAGGGGATTGGCAGTTATTGGGGCGTGGACCTGGAACATGAGAGAAGATTGGCAGTTATTGGAGCGTGGAACATGAGAGGGGATTGGCAGTTATTGGGGCGTGGACCTGGAACATGAGAGAAGATTGGCAGTTATTGGGGCGTGGACCTGGAACATGAGAGGGGATTGGCAGTTATTGGGGCGTGGAACATA